CCGGAATTCATGCGAAAGACGCTGCGCCCGGGTTTCCGGCTACGCGGGCAGTTGAGCGGGTGCGCCGAGCGCAGCGTACCGCCGCGCTGCGCGCTTTTGGTTACGCTGCGAGCCAGGCTTGATCCAATGCTTTAAAAAAGTAAGCAAAGTGACTTGAGGATTCATTTTGGCGGGAAATGGAGCCGCTTATAAGTGTTTTCGAAAAACACTGCAATCCGTAAAAGGAAATACAACATATAATGTTTACAACGTGAGGATTCAGCTTTGAGAATCCGAGTTTGGAAAAGATATGAGTGGAGGGATTTAAACATCAATCCCTAATTAGGAAACAAGTAACAAAAAGTGAAAGAGAAATGGAAAAGGAAAACAAAAGGAACGGAGTTCCAGAATTACAACAGCAGCGGTTTCAAAGAGCACATATGAAAAGCAGACTACAGGAATCAATTGTAGAAAGACTACTGGGTGCGCTTCGATTGTTCATCAAAATGGTGAAAAGATTATGAAAAGCAGACTACAGGAGTCGATTGTAGAAAGACTACTGGGTGCGCTTCGATTGTTCATCAAAATGGTGAATAGATAAAGAACAAACAAAGTGAAATGTGTATATGAAGAAGATTAATTTGAAAAGGCAAGACCTCCAAAGAAGGTAGAAAAGAAAGTTAAGATAGAATAGAACCACAACAAAAATTTGAAAAGGAAAATCTGAAAAGCAGGAAAAAAGACACAAAGCATTTTTAACCGGAGCAGGGTTGTACCAAACTCATGCGAGTCTGTTCTACGTTTTTATATATTAGATAGACCAGGTTGTTATCAGTCAACGCCGTCGCCCTCCGCACTGCCCTTTGAGCCGTATAGGTCTTAAATGCGGCTACATGTACCGAGCTTAAATTGTTCAGTGGCTTGAAATGATCACAAAATAGAAAGTCAAGCGACTCCTTCATCAAGAGCTTTTCTTTGTCTTCTTTCTAATTTTTGTTTCACGCTTCAAATCTGCAGATCTTCAAGTAAAATAGCAAATACAAAAATGATGTCAGATATCGTCAGCAAGCATACAAGTTTCCAACTATACTCCTGCACTTTCTCTTTGTCAAGGTCTTCCATCCTCTTGTCACGTAAATTAACCAATCGACTCCTCAAATTCAGCCATTCAGCCATTCAGCCATTTGTTTTGACCATAATGAAACATTAGATAAGCAATCACTCGACCAATTTAAAATATACTAAACATACAAAATATCAAAACCCAAGATACAAAAATCTCGGTGATCATCCAAAAACAAAACAACCTTCACAACAAATGGAACATCACAAAAAAATAAAAAAACAAGTGCTACTACGAGGTAACATGTTTCATATAGATATAAGTATTTAGCAATTGGAAGTTATACATGCACATATATATAAAAAAGAAGTTCGAAAAGATACTTATACACCTATCAATATATATCAGGTGAAAAAACGAAAATCATAACAAAAAAGATAAAAAAATGGATACAACCAAATAAGATATAATTCAAACCACACCTCAGACCCCAATCAGATCAACGATTTTTATGGAAAAGAATTCCGAAGCGGAATCAATGGAGATGATGATCAATCCCATCGATCGATGGTCTAAGAATCCAACAAAAATACGAAAAAGAAGATGATCTCAATATTATCCAATAATTCTTTTTTTTTCACAAAACTCATCCTCTATCGATCCTCTAATCAAAATCGAAATAGATAGACGTACACGAGAGATCAAGATCAGATCTCTCGACTTTGGTTCCTTCTTTATGGTATTTTTGTTTTCCAGAAGGAAAAAAAGAAGTAGAAAGGTGTTAGACTTACTTTGTTGATTCCACCAAGGACAGCTTTCATGATGAAATCAGCTGTCAAACGACCTTTATATGGTGTTGTATCCTGTAAAAGTTAACAAACATCAGTATATGAATATAGTGAATGAGTATGGTTAAAGAAACAAATGAATAAAAGCTTACGACAATATCTCTCTTAACCCCATAAGTATTCTTCAACTCATCATCCAACTCTTTCAATGCCTTAGTAGCAGCGCTACATTAAAAATTCCATACTTAATATCTATATCTGATTTGCAATAAGTCAAAAAAAACGCAAAAATGCTTACCGATCTTTCCCGATCTGAATGAATTGAACTCCTACTTGAGTAAGAGGAAATCTTCCCATATCGAGTCTTTCAGCAAATCCCGCAAGAGCATAAGCCAATGTATCCGGATCATCTGCTTCACCATCGGTGATGACAATTAGATTCACAGGTTTAAGAGGTGGCATATTTTGTGCTTTGTTAGCCTCTAATCTATTCATACTATTTAACACGAAAGATCGGTTAATTAGATAGGCTTTATGTTCACTTTAGACTTGAATTTGACAAACTTACTAGAGACCTAAAAGTTCTTCTACCCTAACATCTGTTGGAGTACTCGTACCAACTGGTCTTACTCGTTGAAACAATTCATTAATAGATTGAGCAGAACGAGCGTTGAGTAGGTATTCAGAAGAACTAGAAAGTGTTCAAATCAGTTTTGTCATTCAATATACTTTGACAAAAAAAGTGAAAGTCATGAATCAAAAATGAGAATATTTTCTACTCACCTCATGAAATAAACTTCAATCCCATCTGTTACATTGGAGTTGTAGGTTGGTCGAATGAAAAATTTCAACAATCAAAAACATCAGTTTGAATTTACACATCTAAATTCCAGAAACCAACAATCAAGATTTGTAAGCCAACAAACCTGAATCATACTTCACCAAAGTCTCAGCAAGTCCACTAACAGCACCAGCAGCTTCTTTCCATAAATCACCCATAGCCATAGAAGCACTATCATCGATCAAAAGGATAGTATCAAATCTACCTAAAGTGGTCAATGGATCCTCTCTACCATTTCCATTTCCTTGATATTGATTAGTTTGAGCTGATTGATTATTCATGGCGTTATTGAGCATAGCAGCTGCTCCTAATCCAACCATCAAACCACCCAAGCCCCTATCGGTTGAGCTTTGTCGATTTGGTTGATGTGATATACTATGACGAGAGGAAAGTGAATTGGTTCGATCAAATCCATGATTTGAATACGAATTCGAGTTCGTATAAGCCGGTGGTGGTGTGGCCATTTTAGAAATGTATGTTTCGATTGAGATAAGCTTTAGTTTTCGGTTTAACTTGATGAACAAGCGTTGAAGAGTTGCTTTAGATTTGATTAAATGTCTTGATAACTTAAGCGATTAACTGAAAATTGTTCAGATTCAAATCAGGAGTTGGTCAACTGGATCTGAAAAGCTGGATGTATGCACGATGAAAAATGCAGTGGCGGTGCAGTTTTTGATTTTGTGTTTATGCAAACTGTATTACGTGTCATCCTTTCAAATAAACTGCCAAATTCAGAATCAATCGAGCAACCCACGCTGTATCAAACCTATACAGCTTCCGATACGCCGCAGCCATACATTGTTCGTGTCAGCCGATCGACGAGCCCGCATGGTGCATCTCAGCGTACGAGCTCGCACCGGCGGCTACGCACTTCGTACCCAGTGACAAAAGCCCCCCGTGCAAAAGGTGCAAGACATGAGGAATCCAAAGTCCAACACTCAGCGTATCTCAATTTGGATTTCAAGAGCCTTCAATCATAACAAGATACGCTCAATGGACAGGCCTCGTCGTGTCAGATGTTCATTCCAGGCGTCGTCAGGCAAAATTTATTATCTACACGGCTATCATTTTCAGCAAAAGACTTCATGTTGTTTTCAATTCAAAGATCAATAAAAATATCTTAAAACATCACCGACCGAACAGTCAGATGTGTACTAGTTATCAATGCGTATCGCTGGTTGGATCCATGAATTCCAAAATGTAGCTCGCAACTCAAAAGACCAGTAATTGAGTAGCCAATGTCAAATCTTGCGTGGACTAAAACTGACATACTTCCCCCTTCAAGTTTGAGGAAGGTGATTTTCAAATTTGTAATGACCTCAACCCGAAGGTTTGCATAAAATAAAGGTCACCAGATGTGACACATTTGATTTGTTGTGATAAGCTCATGGTTCCATAAACTGAAGCCTCAATCTATAGATCTTATTAAAAAAAGTCCAACCATTACACTTTGCTCAAAACTAATAGACATCTATTCCCACAAACTGCAATACATTACAATGGCTCATGTTAACCCTTCTGAATCAAAATTCTTTTCTACCAAATTACCCTCCTACTTCGTTTCTCTACCTTCATAACGAAAAGCTCCATCATTAGAAGACTTGACGAACGTTCAAATTGATTCGACCACCATTCTTAAACCAATCAGTCCAACATACATCTTCTTCTTGTGTCTGAGATAGCCAGGAAGGCAAACTATTCTCAATGATTCTCGGAACACCATGGAAGAATCGACGACTCTCGCCTGCCATGATGAGTGCATCACCACTTTCAAGTCGAAGGGCCAATGGTGTCTCATCTCGGTTTGGTCCGATCAAGAATACGCATGCATTTCCGATAGATAAAGATACAAGTGGGCTGTCGACTGATACTTCTGAGTGATCGACATGCGCCGTCAAAGAATCCTTATACTAAAAAACACCTCTCGGTCAATGTGTGACACATCACTTAACCTGAGGGAAGCTTACCTGATAAAAGTTGATCACACCCGCTTCAGGTCGGTAACCATCTCGCCAACCTGGTCGAGGATCTGACATAGTTGGACAGATCTGTTCCCAAGGTACTATTTCGTTCACAAGTCTTATACATGTTGAACTTACCAGTTGGCTCATCGGGGTGGGTTCTCTTTCAAAATGATAGGTTTTCGTAGTCCAATGATATTGCAAGCCGATGGTAACCCATCTCAACTTTCCTTTCATCCATAGATCAGAGATGTGGATTGGTTTGACCGTATCAGACGGTATTGGATCCTCTTTAACTTTTTCATTCCGAGCTGTCAAATAGTTTTCCGCGGTGATGGGCTCAAGGTCGACCGTCGTTCGTTTGGTGGGCGGCGGAGGTCCTGCGGAAGGTGGAGGGGGTGACATGATGGCCCGCGGCTGAAGTACATATTTCTTCTTGTCCTCATCAGATCCCTCTTCAGGCTTCTGAGAGCGCCATGTCCGATATAACTCAAATAACCCGCAAGAACTGCCTTCAGGCATAAGCCAATGTGCATCTACATTGTTGACATTCGGTGGTCGAAGACTAGTTTCAAAACAATCTAGGATTAATTCACGTTGCTGATTCGCAGAAAGATAGCCAGGAATGTAAACTAGTCCAGGAAATCGTTCGGGAAAAGTGACAAATCGAAGAGGCTCTGTTCGATCTTCACAAGCCTGAGATCCGGGAGGACCAGGAATGGTGAATTGTTCGATTGAAATTTCATTGATTGAATGTGTACCATCATTAAGTTCAAGTAAATTATTATGTCCAAGAGCTTTATTATAATCGGGTTCCCATAAACGAGTCTTGTAATATTTCTCAGCTTGTCGAAATCCACCTGACTTGGTGTTGGTATCAATCTGACGTGATTGAGTTTCGAGATGTTGCTTTCTGAGTTTGGCTAACTTTTTGCCAGAAATCTTGGGAGTCGTGGTATTGGAATTTGTTAGTAAGGTTGATTCAGGTGTGCTCAGCATTTTCAAATCTGACGTTGGTTTCGTTTTGCATTAGCATCAAGAAAATGGCATTCGGATACCGCAGGCTGAGCCTGAGATCAGACCCGAGCTAACATGGGCTAAGTCCGAGTCTGCCGGGCAGCCTTCGTCGGACCTGTGGCCTGTCCGGAATGGCCGGGGTGTATCCGGCTCGAAAATTACGGTGGCCGTGGACGGACAAATGCGCCAAAACCTCAAAATGCAAAAAACTACGGTGGCCGTGGACGGACAAATCGGACAAAACGACAAATGTGCAAAAATCTTGATGAAACACCCCTTGAAAGCCCCGTGGAGCATATCCCGAGCTCAAGTCCGTTGCCCCGATCACCCAAATCACCCTTGAGTCTTGATCATTTTTGCTCGATCTTGCTTTTTGGTTGACCTTTCTTCTCACATCCATCTCCAAATCGTTTTTGTTCTATCAGTCCATGCCAGAGTTTGCCTCCCGATATCACCGTAAATCACTTGCTTTAGTGTCTTTTTCATAGGAATTGGACTTGTTCCACTCATGACCTACACACGTCGGATTTGAAAAGCTGTGATCGTCCATAATATATGATATATAGTCTTCCAAAGACATCATTATTTATATCATTTGTTCAGTAAATCCAACAGTGTGATTCAAGACAATGATTTGTCACAACTCAGGATTTCTACAGTAATTGCTCAAAAGATTGGTCTTTGTTTATTGTGATGGTGATACAAGAGTCTACGATGATCTAAGATTGACATTCATCTCGGCTGTGGGTCGATCTGAAAAAACAATTTGATTTAGATCTCAGAAGCCATATGCTCAGCATAGTGAGAGGGCTGTCCGGCGCAGCGGACTTGAGCTCAGGATATGCTTCACGGGGCTTTCAGGGGGTGTTTCATTGAGATATTTGCACAATTGTTGTTTTGTCCGATTTGTCTGTCCACGGCCACCGTAAAAAACACACTTGAAATCCATCCCAAAAGCCCCGCCGATCGTATCCCGAGCCCAGTCCGTGGCGCCGGACCAAACCTCTCACTTCAACCTCTCGCTTGAACCCTCATAAGTCCTTTCGATTTTCCATCGATATCTTCTTTCAGAGCTGTTGGACGATCAATCACGTTGTATCAGTCCTTGCTGTTTTAACTTGATTATCCTCTCCCTTTTCATTTGTTTTTTTTCTACCCACTTTCTACAACGCTTGCTCCTTTTAGTTGTTTAAGCTGTTTCTTCTCATTTGAAGATCAGCACTTGATGTTTCTCATCTACATACATACTCTACATGCCCTACACCTTATAGTATGACCTATGCATACCATACCAATGGTGTCAAAAATCAAATCATGCCTTTATGACCAAAAAGCTAGCATGTAAGCACAAAATCACTCGGTTTATGCTTACTTCATGATTTATGCCTACATTGTGAGTACGCATCTCACCTTGCATGGAGTTCCCTGCGCCAAACTCTATGCTTACATCGAGAGTTGGCTGCACAATGACCGAAGAAACGATGCCATCTGGAGTGATGACTGAAGACCCCGAGGCAACGGACTGGGCTCGGGATACGATCGGCGGGGCTTTTGGGATGGATTTCAAGTGTGTTTTTTGCATTTTGAGGTTTTGGCGCATTTGTCCGTCCACGGCCACCGTAGAAAATAGCTGGCGGTAAGATCAAATGAGCTTCAATGAAACTAAGACCTGCACCCGGCCCGCAATTCGGCGGGCGGCCCGGCCCGAAAGGCTCAAAAAAGAGGTGAGGCCCGTAAGCGCTTCACGCGCCAGCCCGCCGGGCTAGCCCGGCTTAGAAAGGTCACAAATGAGGCTCAGTTCTTTTTTTTAGCACAATTCTTGTATTTTTCAAGGCTGGGAGAGAAGAAAACACAATAAAACAAAAGAAAAACATTTTTTAAGCTAGTTTTTAAAGTGTTTTGTTTGTAAAAAATGTAACAAAATATTTCAATTGGTTTGTTTAGGTAGTTTTGATGATTGAGTTAAATAAGAAAATCTTGTCCCAGCTTTTGAGGCAGATTGATGCCTCAAAATTCAATTCATCAATGGTGGCCCGTTCATCAGTCCACACTCTCCCGCCATCAGAAAAAGACCGTTCGGACGGTGTACTAGTAACAGGAATAGACAAGTAAGCCGAAGCCATCTTCGCCAAGATTGGAAATTTGGATGCGTGAAGAGCCCAATACTCCAAAGGTACAACACTACCGTCTGCACGTCCAGTAGATAAATACATTTCTACTTCTTCTTCGACTGTGAGATTTTTTTTACGTGAGATGAAGCAACGTGGACCATCTTCATCAGGTTCTGGTTCAGGATCAACGGAAGGCTCGACCTCTTCTCCCTGAAACTTTGCAGCCTCCTTGATAAATTTCGAGCGCAATTCTTGTCGGTCGTACAGACCAGCCATCTCGATTGTTGCTGTTGACAATTCAAGAAGTTTGCTTCGAGGATCGAGAATGTTGGCAAACAGATAAATAGCTTTCTTGAGCGCGGCTTGATGGTATTCCTGGAGCTTGATCCTCATAGGACCAATTGCAGCTCGAAGAGGTTCATTCGCGTTGCCTTGCCAGGCCTGTAGAAGGAATATAATGCTTTGTAAGCAATGTGTAAAAATGAATACAATAACTTTGAGAACAAACCTTGTCCAACTTTTCCAAGATCCATTGATAAACTGGTGCGGCTTCGGCAGTTGTTGGGTATTGGGAACCGGATAGTAAATTAGTTGCTGAGTTGAGTGGTGCAAGAAAGGCAATGAGATGGGCAACCAAATCCCATTCGCCTTCAGTAAGAGCAAACTTGGCATATTCTTGATCGTTCTTGGTGCGATAATCAATGGCAGCCTTAAGTTGATAAGATCGCTCGTGAGCTAAGAAATCGGAGTTCCAACGTGTGTCTACCCGTCGAATAAGTCGAACATGATCCTTTTCTGGGAGCATTCCTTTAACAAGCAGTGAAAAAGATTCCACTCGTTGTGGTGAAGCTTCAACATAATTAGTAAAACCAATGAGACGAGATAAAGCACTAGAGATTCGATCTGTGTCTTGATGTAGCCAAGCAGCAAGTGCAGGTGGGATTGAGGGGGTTTTGTCGCCTAATTTCTCTGAGAAAATATGAAGGCCGGCTTTAGCGACGAGATTAATGACGTGCGCCATACATCCAAGGAGGTTTTGGTCAGCCTTGAATTGAGGAACTGCCGCTTTGAGATGTCTTCCCATGGCAGTGTTGACAGACGCGTTATCGGCAGTGAGACAAAAAAGCTTATTGACTAGATCGTAAGTTTTCAAAGTATCGAGCAAGTGTTCGGATAGATTCTCCCCAGTATGTGGGCCTTCAATCAACTTCATCACAACTATTGCTTCACATAACTTAAAGTCCTTTGAAACCCAGTGGGCAGTGACTCCTAAAATCGATTTGTTATGCTGACTCCAGCCATCACAAGTGAAATTGATGTAAGGAATGTCCTTGAGGCGGTGAGTAAGTAATCGTCGGCCTTTCATAAACTGAGCCTCGAGTGTATCGGTCAAGGTAGTATGTCCAAAAAAGTACGGGCGAATATTCGGATTGACTAGCAAGAAGGCATTCCGTAACTCCTCAGATTCGACTAGCAAAAATGGCAGTTCCTCATTGACGATGAGGCGTAAGATAGCGGAGCGGAAGGTTGAATTTGACAGCTTATCCGCCTTATATGAAGTAGGAGGAACATTCGATGAGATGGGAAAAATAGAAGACATTGAGTAATTTGAGACTTACAGGAGTAATTCGGCCTGATGTAAGGTATTTCTGCATGTTGACTGTGCCTTCTTCGATGTGTGAATCTTTGTCAAGGCCGTGCTTGAGCAGGTGTCGACTCATAGATTTTGTACTGTGAGATTGATCAACTTTATAGTTGCTGCCACACTCCTTACCAGGCTCTTCTTTGTAAGTGCAAACTGTCCTATACTCGACTTCCTTGCTGAGTGGGTTGACCACAGATTGTTTCTTGAAGTATCTCCACACCCACGACGTTTTGGTGCCAGTTCTACTGTTAATTCGACTAGTTAGGTTTGACCGATCGGAGCTGGTTGACTTTATGTTGACACTGATAGGGGAATGAGGGGTATTGGATTCTGCGTCTGATAAAACAATGGTTGTTTGTGAGTTTGAATTGCTTTCTTTTGTATTCGATACACGAGGCTGCTTGGTTTTCGAGGAGGAAGGGCTGCTGTTTGAACCTCTCTTCTTGGTTGTGCCCATCGGAACGAACTTTATTATGATATAAAGTAGCTGTGAATGAGACAATAGAGTGGTGATTTTCTGCGTTCTGTTGAGATTTTTTTCTTGATTTTTTTTTTTGATTTTTTAGTTGTTTATTTTTATTTTTAATTTTTTTTGGTGAAAAATACTGGGCTGCCCGTGGCCCGCCCAAGCTTCCCGCGGGCGAACTGCGGGCCTGGAAAAGCCCGGCCGGGCCAGGCCGGGTGCAGGTCTTAAATGAAACCGCTGTTCACAGTTTGGGGACCGGGGTCTCATTAGCCCATGATTAACTGGTGAAATACTACTCAGAAGTTATGGATGGGTGGGTTACAATGTGAAATCAAGTTTTGGCTGTGGAGAGCAGCTGTGTCCAAGACTAGCTTTAATCAACTGTGGCTATTTTAGAACACATCCAAAGAAAATTTGCTTGACACAGCCCACACTGACAGTATTCATCACTGACCACAAGGCACTGGAGGTGACAGGTGAACTCCTTCACATAGACTTGAATGAACATGAAAGTAATCATAATCATCTTCATGGAATAGACATTTCTGAGTTCTAATGTGTAATTGTGGTACATACAACTTAGTACTACATAGTAGTGATCAAGGTAGTCATATGAAGAACTGTTGGAGTCCTTTGAGTAAGTGCTCAGGTCCCAAATTATTCCTGTCCAATAAATAGGATGTCCCAGCATAAAATATACACAAGATGGTCTTGGCATTGAATATCTTGATTCCAAAACCCACTGGACATATTCCCACAATGATTATCACCACAAGATCAAACAACTTCTGATAGATTTTTGGCCTATTAAAAGATTTTTGGAGTGTTCTCTTGTTCAGCATGTGAATCACCATTCTTCTTTTGCCTCCAGGTTTTTCAAGTATGATCTTATTTGACAGATAACACAGGATATAATTATTTAATCATCAAAACTGTTATTTGACAATAATTATCAAGTATTAGCGGGTTTCAAGTTGGGCAAGTGGCTAAATTACAACTGTCCCTACATCAGAATGCTACATGAGAATTTTAAATCTCAAAAACACAATCAGAAAGCACCATCTAAGAAACACATTCCCAACAATCTATGTTCTTAAAAGATGATTTCTGAAGGGCTGGGAGGCCAAATCACATAAAATTTTAGGCACTTCTTGGCCAACATGAACACTGCTATAATATATGAACAGGTTCAATTTTATAGTTTTGGTCTGAGAGTCTTGGGAGCTAGATCTTCAAGATGTGTTACACAAATAGTTTCTACATAAGTTAGTTGAAGAATGATTTGATTCTATTGTGGATTTTATTCCACATTCCTTCAGATTCCACAATAACAATAACTCTGCACTCGAAGCTAGTTCTTTGAGGAACTTTGCCCACATCTTCCTGTAAAGTAAATGAAGCATGTGGAACATTGATTCCATGCCTGTTGCGTGCTGTGCCATCATGTTGCATGAAGACATATACTTCATCAGATCTCTGTTTGCTGAGGTAAAACCACTTTTGACCTTCTCTGTACCTCCATGCTTGAATCACATTCCCAGCATGTGTTGGAGTGATGTTGAAGTCCAGAGCATCTTCTGGTAAAAGTGAATCCCATCCACAAATGCCAAGAGGGTTGTCTTGAACCACACATATGGGTCTCCAGACATTGAGGATGACAATCTTTTTACCTTGTTTCAAGTACTTTCCAAATTTGACTCTGCTTGGATCCTCTGACTTTAAAAAATCTTCTTGAAGTTCTCCTCTACTAAACTTTGCCCCTTGTGGTGAAAGATCAGAGTGAATAATTGGCAATGGTCTTAGTCCTTGGGAACTTCTGAAAAAAGAGCCATATGAGATTGCCAATTCAGCTCCTGTTCTGAGTATTCAGGATAAGTCAGCCCCATTTGCTCTACAAAGCAGATATTTCTGTTAAAAACATGCTTACAAATCTTTCACAAGTGCAACAGAATCTGAATCCAAGATGGCTTTGTGTGCATCTGAAAATTCTACCACATCTTGAATTCCTGGAATGTGTCCTCCTGACAAATATGTAAATCCATGAGTTTGCAAAGTAGGCTTTTTGTCAATGGTACGAAGATCTTGAAGAGGAACTCGGTTTATTTTTCTTTTATCAACACTAAATTCATTGTTTGATTTATCCCCTTTAAAACTGAAAACTTCTCCCCATACAGAAGGAGGACCTAATAAAAGAGTACCAAAGATGACAAAAACCTAGTTAGCATAGAGAATGATTGTCAGAAGATACTCAAATTTCAATTAACACTAACTTTCTGATTCTCTTTTGGGGATATTCCCACATTTTATAGCAGAATGGAGGAAGAGTATACAAAATACTAGCTGTTTAAATGAAGACATCTCAATGCTTATGTTTGGTAGAATCATTCTCAAAATCAAAGGTTTTGAGCACTTCCATGGTGAAAAAATCATTGATGACAATGATGACTAACTTTGATCCCAAATTTAGAATTGAAACAACCTTCAATTTCTGTCCCAAACATCTTTCATCCACAAATATTTGGTACTGATTGTGATATATGTCTGTAGGATGGTTTCAGCAAAGGTTTCAAACAGTGGTATACTCAATTGAAACCACACTTGACATCTAGCTCTAACCAAGGTTGGCCTGCCCCCCATATCATGTTTGATCAGATCCTTTTCTCACTAACTGGGTAAAGAATTAGAGTACACCATTGTAGAACCCATACTTGGTCAACCTCATTCTCTGCCCTTAACCAGGGTTTTCTGTGTGTGGGAACTTTATGCAAACAAAAGCAGGGTAGGCATGTCCCATAGCTCTGTAGAGTCGCATAACCTAGAATCCAAAGCCAATACTTTTGGGGGATGTCTGTGTACCAATAAACTTGGTTACCCATATAGTTGTCTCAAAGTCAAACATCAAAGGAGTCCTTAAACAACACTGGCAAGTGACAGGATACCCAAGGGAAAGCACGGAGGCAAATTTTGGCCCTTGCAATTTCCTTGCATTGTATCTTCAGACACAGCTTTACCTGGAGTCAGCATTTCACAATTTCATGGGGTAATCAGTCATGAGGTTGGGGTCAACAACAACCCTAATTGATCAATTGATGTTTATGAATGATGAACAGATCTTCTTATGATGAATAAAGGTGATTTCTTCCTAATACTCATACCTGAAAACCAATTTCTCAAACTACAGCTTTTTTGTAAAGTGGCCCACTTTTGGATTACTAAAGCTCATCCTGTAGCTCTCGTTATACTGATCATTAATTGGCCTAATATGACTTACTTCTGATGTGTGATGAATAATTTATTGAGTTGTAGAGATTGATAAAATAAGGGAAACCATGCAGGCAGTGCATGAAAGGGAATGTCAAAGTGTGTCTTCATTTGTAGAAAGCATAATATTGTAGGCCTCAACCTCAGAAGTTGTGATTGCAATGAGCGTGATCTTGGTAGTGATAACACTATAGAATTTATTTAGAAGCTCATATTGAGAAGTTGATCTGTTTCACAAGACACTGAGAGTACACAGGCCACGACCTCAGCCTTGGCTCAAAAATGGTGGATTAGGCAGAAAGGTAGCTTTCTGACCACATCAGTTTGACCCAGGCAAATTCTGGGACATACAAGCAAAGATTGTCACCTCAAGTGCTAACTTGTCAGCTTGTGCTCCACTTGAGATGGTTTAAAAATAGATATGATGAGCAGTCTCAAAAGAGTAGTACATGGGGTGATACAGGGACAGATACCTAAAATAAAGAAAACACACAACCAAACACTTTAATAAATCCAAACTAACTTTCCCTTCCACTTATTCATCAGGCTTTGGACTTGTCATCAAAAGAATACCAGAACCAATTATCACTCTGATGATATTTCAGTATAATACAATAGCTATTGAACAGACAATATGCACATAATTTCTCCAGGTATCCAGTGGTTGATCACGACTCTCAAAAACCACATGACCTGCCATTTCCTCGTTTGGAAGAGAGTCAAGTTCAGCGAATGCTTTGCCTATCGATTTTCCGGTTGACACCTCCCAATAGTGCCTTCAAGATGAAATCAGCAGAAATTGCACCCTGTTTATGAAAAGAAAACATGCAAAGAATTGGTCAGATGTTGATGTCCTTCCGACCTCTGTTGCATGTGGAGCTAGGGCCAGTAACATGGATATGTAGGGAGACTCGCCACTCTAGAGGGATCACTAGCCTGATAAGGAGTGCAGTCGACAATGTCCCTGATACGATATTTGGTCTTTAGGTCGTCATCCAACGCTGTGAGATGTCTGGCCGCCTGTAAATTCACTTCTCTCAACTTCACATCACCAAATCTAAGCGCGAAAAAGTCTTACGGACCTGTTCATCATCTCCGATTTGAATAAAGGAGATACCAATCTGTGAAAGGGGGTATCTACCTCCGTCCAAAAACTTTGCCATTTCGACAATCATCTCTTCAGGACTTTGACCTCGGTCAGGTGCGCCATCTGGATGCAAAACAGAAATCAGTCAACGGACTAAAGCAAGGATTGTAGACTTCCAGGTCACCACTGACCAGTAAGAACGACCAGATTCATTGGCTTGACTTGAATCCCATTTGTCTTGCTCTGATGCAGCTTTTGAAGGTAGGGGTCCAGGACTCTTTTCATTGCGTTGGAAGTTGGAGTGGATCGTCTTGGCTCTACCCGGCGAAAGATTTCTTGAACCTGCTGAGTAGTGCGGCATCCATGGGTAGAGGCGCGAACGTCGTTGAAGAAGTGCAGATCAATCCCATCTGAATCATAGCGAATGGCCTGAGCTACTAGCCCTATCAAAGCGTTACGAGTTTCATCCCAGAACATTTCTGTGGAACCACATGAAGGATAAAGGATTGATCGGAATTATAAAATTCAATCAAATAACGCATATTGTGCTGCTCGAGCTTTGCATAAAATACTGACCCATTGAGCCTGAATCGTCCACCAGCACGACTGTCGAGATAAGGGGGGGGGTTGAGCTGTCAACATTTTGCAACCCATAGCCCTTTTGTAAAATTGATTCTCGCTTACCAGTATCATACCTACTCAACATTGCCAAAGGATCCTCTCCACCCGGACCATTCGATTGATTGTAATGGGCACCGCCTTGTGCAGGTGGTGGCGGTCCCGGTGGCGGGCTAAATTGCTGTTGACCGGATGGATAGCCATTATAGGGCGGAGAAGTAGGAGCCTGGTACTGAGGCTGAGTACCTTGTCCGTAATATCCAGCGGCTGCGCCATGGGGAATAGCATTTGGGTCATTTCCATAAGGAGTACCCGTTTGTGGCGGAGGGGCAGCGGGAGGTCGGTGTCGATTGGATTGACTGCCCATTCGGAAAAGCTAAAGCAGATCATCTTTTGAGAAAACACGATGGTGCAAGTAACAATCAAGGTATAGAGATCCGAAGTGGAAATTTTGAAGGGTTTAGAACTGACTTTGTCCATGGTTCACAGTGGTCTTGAGATTGTGCAATAATACGAGGTTAGATGTGTTGTGGATGACAAAAAACCACACGAGCAATGCAAAAGCGATAGAAGATAACTGGCGATACCAAGTTAAGTAACTTCCTTTGTTGGTCAGTGGTGATAATCTTACTTAGGTAAAGTGGAAAGGACGCTGTTCGGTTTTCATTTCCAAGTGGCGGTGCAGTTTTCAATCCTTCACTTGTATGCGCTATGTGTGTACAGCCACAGCCTGCCGCTTCACCTGTATTACAGCAGACCTGACGTCACAGCAATTGTATACGGTGCTGGACGCATGTAATCCTTGATTCTAGCCCCATGTCACCATACCGTCAACTTTGACCTTTTGTCTTGTCCCTACCCCTTTCCCACTATAAACCTTTTTGGCGGGGATGAGCACAGGGTCCTCAACTAGTTGAGCTGATCTACAATTAAAAGTCCTCAAAGTCGAGCAATGCCCTAATGTTTCAGCAAAAGGTAGATTTCAAAAAGTTAAACCTAGTTACATAGGACTGCTTCAATGGTTTTTAAAGACTGCCGAAAAACCTGTGTACGTTCGGGTCTGGGTAGGGACTTCTCGATTGACTTTTTGTCTTTACAAGATTCATAGCCCGGATCCATTTGGGCTTGCGGGCATCCTTGAGCACAATTATGTTGCCTCTGATTGAAAGAATAAGAGCACAACCCACAACATCATATTCATCTAGGGCATTCATTAGGACACTGGAACTTCCTAGATTGATGAGAATATGAGAAGAATAAAGTGTGGAGCTTCTGTCCCAAATGACCACCAGTAAGTTCAACATTTTGGGAGAAAGCTTACACCAAACCAGGTTTGTCAGGTTGGATGGCTCATCTATGGCTTAGATTAGACTTTTCACTTCAACCTATGTTTTCACTTTGCACAAGCACCAGGTAGACTGAAACCCTCATGTTGAAAACCCTTGAAGAAACAAAAGATCGAGAGGATTTGAAGGTACAAAAATTTGAACATGCACAAACATAGTTCACATAGGACCAGGATTTTGAAGAGCTCACTGATTGCCAAATCATCTTTAACATGAAACCTCCAGTGAGCCACTGAGCTAACACAAAAAAATTTCTGTGACAGTATCTGAGATCCACCACAACTTTGGAAATTCCAAAGAGAATGTGCTGTCTATATGTCCTTCAAGTTTTACTGGATTATTTACTACCAAGGGAAGTAGTCTTCTTGAGGTCTGGAGTACCAAGTGGTGCAATATCACCTGCTGGACTGAAGCTATCTTCAACAAAAGGTATATTTGTACTTCAGGAACACAAGTGGATATGTCCTTGACAACACTGGAATCCCTTGGAATCTCATCTCTCGAAGTGGGATTTGATCTGGCATCTGAAGTGCAGAACATCAGTACAAATGGTATAAATAAAAATGTATCCATGCCAGTAGATCATAAGGCTTTAAGGATATTAAAAATTCAGCTATGATGACATGTATTTCAACAGGACCTTTTGGGCCCATTTGAAGAGTTGTTTTGTTGAATATAACCCAGAGGAGTTTTACAAAAACGGGCAAAGCACAGTGAATCAAGAGATTCATAAAGTTACATGATAATTGGATTCTGGAAGACTGCACAATTTGCCAGTGGAAGAAAGTCTTGCCAACTAGAAACTGTATCCAACACATGATAGCAAAGGTTTTGCCAAAGGACAAGAAGGAACAAACCTATGAATTATTGACTCATATTTTTGTAAACAGCAAGATCACAAAAAGGACACTTGAATACCAACAATCTGGAAACACTGCCACCCAAACCCCTTACAGTCAGATACATTATATGTATATGGAACCAAATCATGAGGAGAACAATCAATCTATGCCTGCCATCCAATGAACTTTACACATACATCATAGATCTCCTTCTTCCCTTCCTAAGAACTGTCCTACCCACTTTGCTTTACTAGAAGTACATTATTTTGTCTTTTCACAATCCAAGGTCAAATTAGAGAAACATAACTAAAAGACAGCAGTGTAAAAAGCAAAGAGAATAATCCAAAGACAATCACAAGATCTATAAATGGAGAAAAGAGATTCACACACTGCAAAAAAGTCCTTCTTGACCCAAGGGCAAAGAAAACTACCTCTGGCAAAGCAAACCATAGGTGTGGTCCTACCCAGTTGCCTTTTCCCATATGACAAATTGGCAGAAGAAAACCACTTCATGGGGGGAGTTACTCATTTGATGTGTTGAGGGTTCTTCAAAAAAAATAAGCTGACATAAATTCAGTCCATATTTTCTATTTTGTTTTTCCTTGTGCTGTATTCATCATTCCAACCTCCCAAATTTCAAATGGGTCAATAGATTTTTACACTCATCCATTTACACTCAATAATGAGTGTAAATTTGGACGAGTGTAAAAATCCACCGTAACTAGGGTGAAACACAATTTTACACTTAATCAGGCCCGATTTCACGAGTGCAAACAAGTCACGTGTAAAACCATGAGTGTTTTTTTGTAAATCACCGCGTCAAACATTGAATTTTACACATCAACATTTACATATCATATTGAGGGCAAATAATCTAGGGGGCAAAAATCTGTAGTAGCCCCCAAATTCTATTTTTAATCTCTAAGTCCCTTACACTCAAAGTTGGACGTATGACCCTGGGACGTTTTTTTTATATGATCACCGCGAAAGTACATATTTGCACCCCATCGAAGGCACCCCATTGGCATGGCATCTGCGCAGTATCCGGCCGGCCTAACTGTGTAAGTCTTGCCCTTCTCTCCCTGCATATGCCCTTTGATTGTCACCCAACAACCTCAAACACCACTCTACCAATCTTATGAACGTAACGTCCGATATAAGAAAGGTCTCACCAACCAACCAGCCGATAAAAGCCACAATAGTCTGGATGCGATCTCATCACCGTCAACCTTTCCCTTTTCCATTCTGAGACGAGCTCTTGTATTTCGCGCTGACATCTCAGATCCATCTCACGATGGATCGTTTCCTCCTGCGTTCGCCAGCTCGTCACCCCAATGGAATTCTCCAACCGCCTGGCTCATATTCTTCAATACGACCTCCCTCTTCCTCTTCCCCAGAGTCTCAAAGCTACGAACGAGAGTTGACCGTTCTGAATTTTGTCTACCAAGTTGTTCAACTCTACCAAGTCTACCTGTTGATCCTATCCTTACGTTTCTACCCAAACCATCCAATCACTCAATCTCACGAAGCCCTTTCAACCAACCCTTCCATTTCGCTTACACTTTACTGTGACATCATGTCCGAAGAACAACGAAGTAGTCATCCTGATACTGCCAGTACCCTTGATCCCCCTCAAATGACGGCGGCCAACGTTTACAACATGATCCTTGACGCTGATAACCCGATAAAGCTAGTTAGTGATTCAGTCGTTAACTCATCTCCTGGACAGCAAAAGAAAAAACGCAACCGCCCAAACAAGACCGGCAAAAAGTTCAAGATACCTATACCCGCGACCGGAGAACTCAAGACGTTCATTGATCACGGTTCTACGTGCGATGCCGAAGGCTACCCTATTTACCCCAACGGCGAAACGGTTTTCGTTCGCAAACCTACCAATCAAGTCACAAACTTTGGCCACATCGCTTACCCCCACACTCAAAAGACCCATGGGGCAAAGAACGGCCCGTGGAAAACAATTTGGTTCAAATGTCTGGGTGTCTTACATTGCAAGGATGATTTCTGTGAATATGCGGCTCCACCTCCAACGGCTGATAGCAAAGCCGCGGAACTGATTCAAGAGTACGTATCCTTTCTTCCCTAATTTGTTTCATTCTCATTACGTCTCAGCTTTGATCCATATCAGTCTCTTTCGAGTTTCATCTGGCCTCAGTCTCTTTGCAATTGGGCTGACAGTTTTTCTTCTTCTCACATCAGTCATCCCAAATGCCCTGCCATCAAGTGTGATAGCAATCACGTATGGACGCAATGCCCTGACTCCAACTGTCGAATCAACATCGAGAAACATACGGGCTGGGGTGTACTTAGACACTCAGGTACTCATAAACACGTATGGCCAACTTCGAAAAAGGCCGATCCCCTTGCCATGCGTGTGCTCACGGACCAATTGGTTAGCAATCCGAAGGCAGGACCGTTGGTCCTGAAGGTAAGTGCCCGAGTTGACTCGTCACTACGGAAAAAGTTCTAACTTTGCCTCCGTCACGTCTCTTCTCATCAGGTCGGGCAAGCAGGTGCAGGACAGACGGTCACTGCACCTGTTGTGGATATCCATCCTGCTTTTGGTAATGGCGGCCCTTTTGGTTATTTGCGACGCAAGGTGCTCATCGATAAGGGCCTCATGCCCGAAAAGAAAAGCCACGGTGGGGGTGACCGGCTCATCATGGATTTGATGCACTGGGGCAGGTAAGCCACCTTTTTTTCTCTTCTTTCCGTACCTTTTGTTACGTTTGGTTCTGATCACTGACCGTCGAGATCACCCTTACTAGGAACGGGCTCAGATTGATTTCAACCTCGCTTTCGGGTGCCAATGTGCACATCACCTACCAATCCGAATGGATGGCGGACCAACTCGTTCGCCGGGATCAGGACAACCGCATCTATTCCGGAGGTCTTCTTTCAGACGTGACGTACCGATTTTTCGACCACGGTTATCTTCTCACCACCTCCATGTATAGCGATGTCATGCATCGCTGGGTCCCAATCCAACTCACCTGGATGTGGGGCCTCGATGAGGCTCATTACGAAGCTCATTTCACCACACTTCTGGAGCAAATATCGAACACGAACCTCACCTACCACGAGCGAGATCTCTTGGCTCAACAGGTGGTCGATTTCTCGTTGGCCCAGAAGAAGGGTTTCGTCAGTGCCTACATGAAGGTCTTTAAAGAATACAATCCAGCAAAAGCATTGAGTAAGTTAAAGGGCTGTCATGAGCACTATCGACAGTTGATTACTCGGGTCAAGAAGAACCGTAACATTGTGGATGCCAGTCGAATTGTAAGTCTTCTGATGTTCTCTTCTAGTACATGTTCCCTTTCCTTCCTTAGATACTGATTTCAATGTTAATACCACTGCTGAAATGGTAGTCTGAATTAGAACGCCTGGCCCTGGACCTCCTCGAACCCAACAAGCCGGGTGGGTTATCTCTCCGAGACAAATTCGACCAAATGGCGCGCCTATTTCCCAAAAGCAAGGCTTGGGTCAATTGGTGGAATACATCTGACATCCACAGTATGCTCTTCTGTGGTCGAGAGCGCCTCCCGCTGGATGATCCTCCGTTGCCGGATGAAGATCCCCTGATGGCCGAGATTCCCGACACCACCAACGGTCAGGAATCTATGCACCGACAATATTACATCCTGACGTGAGTAGTTTCTTTATACTTGTCATTCATTCCGTTGACCTCACTTATAATACAATCGTGGCTAACACATTTGTGTCTGTGTGTAGCTCAGGACATTGTACAATTGTACAAGGGTTTGTACAATTATTACTTTTTACCGAGTCTTTGAAGAAGGACTTCAATCAAATACTTCGGGGTATTTCGGTGAAATATGGCAGTAACTGGACCTCCGTGGTCGAAACCTTAGGATGGTTCAAAGAACGCACGCGACGCAAACCGGAGGCCAACGATGGACGACCTCCAGATACGACTGATGCGCTCCTTGGACCTAAAAAGGCCGAGCGACCTGTAGGCTCTCTCAACGTGAACCGAGACCCTCATTCTTCCTATCAATCTTACTCAGCCAGCAACGACCCGGGAAAACGGAACCGATGCTGGGAGACCGCTTCCCTCAAAAGTTTTTATCCGATGTTTTCACCATTGTGGATGAACGGATCCAATGGTAAAGGCAAGGATATCGCCTCCAAACTAATCCGACACTTTTCTTTGAGGGCTTCTTATAAAAGTTCTCGATGTGTTTTCTTCTCAAGATTCGAATTGAATCTTTAGGTTGACTGTGTAGCTAGAAAAGCGTATAGTATAGAAAGGGAATCCTGAGGGCAACAGGTTCCGTATTAGACTATAGCTTCTGCTAGTCAACGGCGAGAACTAAAACACTGAGGGCAACAGGTTCCGTATTAGACTATAGCTTCTGCTAGTCAACGGCGAGAACTAAAACACTAACCTGCGAGCTCGAAGCAAAAGTGAGGAGCGCGCGTAAGGGTTTGAATGAACAAAGTAAAATAATGAAATTGATTCTTTTCGACACGAACCTGAGGGCAACAGGTTCCGTATTAGACTATAGCTTCTGCTAGTCAACGGCGAGAACTAAAACACTAACCTAACAGCACAGTAAGAGAACAAAAGTGAAAGTAAAAAGAGATCAGAAAAGAAAACGATAACTTGAGATAATGTAGATAAGATATCACTACCTGCGAGCTCGAAGCAAAAGTGAGGAGCGCGCGTAAGGGTTTGAATGAACAAAGTAAAATAATGAAATCTAAGTTGAAGATAAAGACTATTAGACTCGTTGGTAAATGAGAAATCAGGAGAATGAATTTAGGAGAAACTTACTGATTCTTTTCGACACGAAAAGAAGCAGAAAAAGAGAGGAAAAGAGAATTACAAAAAGAGAAAAGATAAACCCAAAAGAATCCACCATTTTACCCCTTGATTCAACTTCCCAAATAACCCCTTTGTACTCTTCCCTGATTTTCACACTAGTCACTGCATGACAGATCTTGATCTAGTCCAACGCTCACAACTTCTATTTCTATAAAACATCCAATTGCCATAAATGGATAGTGATCTTTGACTACATAACAAGATAGTAACTTAACCTATCTTAACACACCCCCTCAAAGAGCATTATCCTACAAACCTCAAACCCATAGCTTTCCTAAGATTTGAAAATTGTTCTTTAGGAAGTTGCTTAGTTAGAAGATCTGCCACCATCAAATGAGTAGGACAGTGTTTGATTGTGAGATCCCCTTTCTTAACAACTTCTCTGATCCAATGATAATGTATCTCAATATGTTTAGTACGTGCGTGAAATATTGATTTTGATGTTAAGTGAATTGCTCCCAAATTGTCGCTTTGAAGTACAGTAGGATTAGGATCAGTGAAACCAAAACGTGTCATCATATTCCTTAACCATAACAACTCTTGACCAGCCTCCGTGATTGCGCGATATTTGGCTTCCGTCGAAGACAGTGCTACCGTTGGCTGAAGACGGCTTCTCCAAGAAATTGGTCCTCCAGCTAAGACAAATACATAGCCAGTAGTCGAACGCCTGGTGTTGGGATCCCCAGCCCAGTCAGCGTCGCAATGAGACACTGGACATTGGAAACTTCGTTGACCGGCTACAGTGCGAGGTTCATTTCCTGAATACACAATACCGATGTTGATGTTGATTGTATGATTTAAATAACGAAGAACATGCATTGCTGAATCCCAATGAAGTTTGCTGGGATTTTCGAGATGTTGGGAAAGCACACCAACAGCATGAGCCATATCCGGGCGAGTGCATTGAGCCAAGTACATCAATGAACCAACAACACTTCTATAAGGAAGTTTGGTTTTGGCGAACTCTTCACTCTCTTCTTCAGTTGATTTTAATAATTTAATATTAGGAGACAGAGGAGTGATAGCTGGTTTTGAATTTGCCATGTCGAAACGTTGAAGAACAGTTAAGGCATACTGTTGTTGGGACATTGAGTAAGTGTTTTCATCAATTCGTTGGATTTGAATACCGACTACCGTATGAGCTAACCCTAAATCCTCCATTTCCCACTTGGACGAGATTTCAACTTTAAAAGTAGCAATATCATTTCCAGTAATAGCCAGATCATCCACATGAACGTAGACAGCAGTAAACAATTTACCCACAGATCTGATATATATGCAATGATCTATTTCACATTGATAAAAGTCTATCTCAATTACAAATTCCTCCACATCATCTTGCCAGATTTTTGGTGACTGCTTGAATCCGTAGAGTGATTTCTTCATTCTCCAAACCTTTCCAACAGTTGAAGAAGTACGATAGCCTTCAGGGATTTCAACATACAGTTCTTCATGAAGAATACCATTAAGGAAAGCTGTAACAGCATCCATTTGGTGAATTTCCCAACCATGGATAGCTGCGATGGCCACAAGGATGCGTAGAGAACCTGGCTTTCCCGTCGGCGCAAACGTTTCTCCGTAGTCCTGACCAGGTATTTGGGTGTTTCCCATTGCTACAAATCTAGCTTTGAACTTAATACCACCATCAACTAACGTCTTCTTTCTGAATACCCACAAGCCTCAAATCACGTTTCGATCAGTTGGACGATCTACCAACACCCAAACTCCTTTCTCCCTGAGCAAATTAAACTCTTTATCACAAGCTGCCTTCCATTTTTCACTTTCCGACGATGCCATAGCTCGTTTATACGATTTAGGATCTGGAGATGAGAAAACACTGCTTAAGTGACATTCGGGAGGGAGACAGGCAAAGAAAGATTCCGTGATAAAATCAAAGTCGAACTCTGCTCCAGCACACATCCCTCCGAGATTATCGTGGAGTTTCTTTGAAGATCTTGCTGAGCGTCGAGGAGGGTCCTGAATTTGACTTTTCGAAGATTTTACTTCCGAACTGGGGATTGGTGAAGTAGACAAAGGTGATGGGAGTTCCAAAGCCGGATTTTGAGGTAATGATTCTTCTAAGATATCCTCCTCATCATCAAAGAAGCGAACTTTGACTGAGTTTCTCAGAGGTTCAGTGGGTACGAGTGGAAGATTGGTAGGAATGGTCTTAAACGGAAAAACATCCTCATTAAAGGTTGAATGATGAGTTATGTAGATTTTCTTTGAGGTCAGATCATAGATATGAAAATTAAAGTTATCTTGCTCGAAGCCCACGAGTACACCTTCAGAGCTGACAGGAGAAAACTTTGAGGGTCGAAGTTCTTTACGAATTAAACCAAAAGCTTGACATCCAAAAACACGCAAGTGGTTAATTGAGGGTTTTCGAAAGAACCAGACTTCAAAAGGTGTCTTTCCGTTTTCAAGAGCAGTAGTTATACACCGATTGGTAAGGAAAACTGCTGCGCTGCATGCATAATACCAAAATCGAATAGGCATAGCTGCTTCAAGCATCATCGAACGAGCCCTGGTAACGATAATTCGCATACCACGTTCGGATACTCCATTTTCTTCAGGTGCATGTCCTGAAGTTAAATGAAGAGTAATTCCCAGCTCCCGGAGTTTGGAACCGAGCAAGTTATTAAGGAATTCACTTCCCCGATCAAGAGTGAATTGCTTAAGAAGACATCCTGTTTGCCTTTCAGCAACAGCAATATAGGCCATGAAAGCATCATAAACTTCTTCTTTTGTTTTGTCACCAAGTGGATAGATGTGTCGATACGCGGAAAAATCGTCACAAAATAAAATAAAGTAATTTTCATTGTTTACACCGGTTGTTCTGATTATACCACTTAAATCAACATGGACATTCTCTAAGAAGGTACAAGCACGGGGTCTGGTTTTATTGTGAGGTAACTTTGTATTTTTAGACAATGAACAAATATCACAATTTAAATCTTCATCAAGATATTGAAATTCCTCCACACTCTCCAATTTAGCCATCAATTTTAAGTACTTGTTGCTAACATGCCCTAATCGACGATGTTGAAGTGATGCAGTAATTTCAGTAACAGAAGCTGAAGTTGAAGAGGTTGAAGCAGAGTGTTGTCCACTCACAGGTTCGAGAAGAATGAACATGAGGTTGTTGTCCGAGATGAAACCATTGAAGATTGCGAGACCATTCAATACCAACGAGAAATTCGTTCCATCGTGGAAAAGTTCCCTGACTCCTTGCTTCTTTAGAAGAGCACCAGCTATGAGGTTTCTTGAAAGCTCAGGAACATAAAGACTATTTTTGAGTTCAAAGGGTGTTTCATCACCAGCTAACAATTTCGCAACTCCTTGACTGTGAACCGCTAAAGAAACGTCACCCCCAGCAAGTTTAAGTCTTTTACTAGCATCATCGATTTTAACAAGGGTTGCTTGATCAAAAAATTTCTTGTCTTTAAACATATGATGTGTGGCTCCCGTATCATGGAGAGCCCAGTCACGAGATGATGAAAGAGCAGACGAAACAGAGGCGCTTATGTCAGGGTCTTCTTCAAATTCCGAAGGTGAAGCCGAAGGTTGAGCTGCTTCCGATTTCTCGATGAGGTTTTCGTCGAATTCGACATTTAAAGAGAGAAAAGCTAAACTAGCCGAAGCGTTGTTCACACTCGAGTCAAAGACTTTCTTGACACCTTTGACAGTTGGTGATTTAGGTCGTTGAGGCGCTGAAGAGCTAGCGGTTCCACCCCCGGTTTTTCCTCGAATCTTGGAGAGAAACGCCTGTCGTTTATCCACGTTTTCAGGTTTCGACCAACAATTCTTCGCAAGATGTGGACCGTAACACTCATCAGGAGTGCATTCACCAGAAACTTTCTTGGTCGGGCGAACTGATACAGCGTTGACTTCTCGGATAGCAGCACTGCTCCATCCGTGTCGTTCTTCGTATTTTCGGAGATAAGTCCCAACTCCTTCACGAGTTAACGGGACAACGGTATTATGAATATACTCCTTTGTCTCGATCGACAGTGAAGGGATAGCACCGATCAACATTCTGGCTGATTGAATGTCTGAAAGTTCGCCCTTTAGGCGATAAAATTCTCTAATGAGATTTTCAAACTTATCAACGAAAGAAGAAAGAGAGTCGGCTTTAGTAATTTGACAGCCATAAAGAGCCTTCGTGACAGCTTCAAGTTTGTCTTCTGAGACTCGATTATGATAAGACTTGAGGAAGTTCCAGCATTTGAATGGATCGTAGATGATTTCACAAGGATCGGCTGGATCGGTGAGATGGTTACGAGTTCTGATGTTATTGACGGAATCCAATCTATGTAGAATGAACGTAGTTAAATTAAAACGAGTCTTTTCAAGCTCTTCAGCTGATAAAGCTGAGTTACGATAATTCTCGGTCTTGACATAGTGATGGAGTTCAAGGGATCGAAAGATTTCCATCAAGGATTGGCTCCACTCTATGTAATTCTCGTCAGTCAAATCTTCAGACACCTTGTATTTACTCAAGGCATTATTCATAATCTGAGAATACTTTTGAATCTGATCGCCGAACACTCTGGAGTCGACATTCTCAGACATCGCGTTTGATACAGGATTTCTTGACACTGAATTTCCTAAGGATAAGTCGGAAGACACAGGATTTTCTTGATCCTGAAGAGCCGTTCTAGATGAATCGGCCGAACTTGAAGTGCTTGATCCTTCAGTGACTGTTGAGTTATCTTGTGAATCGTCGAAAGATTGATCGACGTTCTCGGAACTCATACAAGCTTAAAAACGGTTCGAATAGATCGTTAAACTCTCGCTACCATATAAAAGTTCTCGATGTGTTTTCTTCTCAAGATTCGAATTGAATCTTTAGGTTGACTGTGTAGCTAGAAAAGCGTATAGTATAGAAAGGGAATCCTGAGGGCAACAGGTTCCGTATTAGACTATAGCTTCTGCTAGTCAACGGCGAGAACTAAAACACTAACCTGCGAGCTCGAAGCAAAAGTGAGGAGCGCGCGTAAGGGTTTGAATGAACAAAGTAAAATAATGAAATTGATTCTTTTCGACACGAACCTGAGGGCAACAGGTTCCGTATTAGACTATAGCTTCTGCTAGTCAACGGCGAGAACTAAAACACTAACCTAACAGCACAGTAAGAGAACAAAAGTGAAAGTAAAAAGAGATCAGAAAAGAAAACGATAACTTGAGATAATGTAGATAAGATATCACTACCTGCGAGCTCGAAGCAAAAGTGAGGAGCGCGCGTAAGGGTTTGAATGAACAAAGTAAAATAATGAAATCTAAGTTGAAGATAAAGACTATTAGACTCGTTGGTAAATGAGAAATCAGGAGAATGAATTTAGGAGAAACTTACTGATTCTTTTCGACACGAAAAGAAGCAGAAAAAGAGAGGAAAAGAGAATTACAAAAAGAGAAAAGATAAACCCAAAAGAATCCACCATTTTACCCCTTGATTCAACTTCCCAAATAACCCCTTTGTACTCTTCCCTGATTTTCACACTAGTCACTGCATGACAGATCTTGATCTAGTCCAACGTTCACAACTTCTATTTCTATAAAACATCCAATTGCCATAAATGGATAGTGATCTTTGACTACATAACAAGATAGTAACTTAACCTATCTTAACACTTCTGCCAAACTGCATCAATCTACTCACGTCAAGTCGGTCCTCTCTCGTGGCCTCAAGTCAATGCAATCAGCGATCCAGAAAATTGCCGACATTTCCTTTGTGACGGATACTTTTTGTTCGGCCGATTTGTTTATCGATTACCTTTTGGCCAACAAACAGAATGTGCCGACTCCGATTGGACATCACTTCGCTTATGAAGTCATTCGGGACTATCAATGTCCCCGGGACCCTGATCACCATCCTAGTGAAACATTCACTCGCACTGCGGTCTCCATCACGTTGGACCTATTCCGTGAGGCGAACTTACAATACCCAGATGTTACTGATCTCCTCTACCAATGGCACACCGAAGGCCTTTACTCAACTAGCCCTCGGTGCTGCCCAAACTGCCGAGCCACTCGCAAACAGCAAGCTACGGCCCGGCGAGAATATCCTGATGATGAGGATGAAGTGTCAAATGGCGTCCCAGACAGTGCGAACGAACTGCCTCAACTCTATGAGCGCAATCGATTGGACTTCTCTTCGGCGCCTATGAACCTCTACTTCCACCTGGGCAACGCGGCTGGTCTCAAAGAAGATGATCGCGATAGCTTCATGGGCGATATGGAGTGGCCGGAAACGCTCACCTTCAACGATGTCTCGTATCACATTGTCTCGCGGGGTTTTTGGGGCTATTGTCACTATTGGTGCAAGGTGGTCAGGCACGTCGATGGAGCCCAGGGCGTATGGTTTTACGACGATCGCAAGGACGATGGTCGCGCACAACTCCTTGGAAGAGAGCTCACTTTGATTGCAGGCGCTCAACCGATGACTAGTTGGCTTGTTTACGCTCGCAAGGCTACCTCTGATGAACAGAAGATCATCAAAGCCAACATAGCCAAGATTAGTCATAAGAATCCAGAAACGCAAGGAGATCTGCCTTTTGTTTCCGCCGTGGACTTAGAAGGTGTCGAACAAGAAATTGAAAAACTTTGTGAAGAAGCAGAAAAAGAAGATGGAGAAGACGAGATTGAAGAAGACATCCCTACTGTACCAGTTGATGTTGGTGTTCCCACCTCGCAGATGGGTGACTTGGCAAAGCATGCTTTCTCATCAACATGTATGTCTTCTTTGATCACATCATTCCCAAACCTCAAAGTGCCTTAACCTCACTTTTCAATTGATCAGGTCCACCGGTTGATGGTCACCTTTGTATGGCCGGCCTTTCTTTGGAAGAGAAGGCTACGAAGGCAAAGGATGCCTTCTCCTCAACTTGTAAGTCTTCGTCCATCCCTGATCACTGGACTGCCACCGATGATTGAAGTGTTCCTTCTTTGATCGTCGGCACGTGGCAGGTCCGCCAGCCATCAATCACCTTCGCCGTGATGGTATTGCAGAAGGCGATAATAATTCCGGTGGTCAACCTTTTTCACAACCGAATGCATCCGGTTGCGACAGTGCCACCAAAGACGAGGACAAGGACCCTGAGCCGGCTCAGGGCCCCGTCAACGTACGCCTTTGTATCAAGCGACCTGCACCCGATTTGAGCCCGGTCAAATCCCCATCCCCATCACCTCAGAAACTCGTGACCAAGGCTAATAAGGGAGGTTCAAAGGGCAAGAAAGGTGTTTCAAAAGGCGAAGTACTTCAGGATATTAAACCCAGTTTACCAATTGTAGAGAAAGGTGGTGGGAGGGGGATAGAGGTCGAAGCTAAGGGTAAAGTAGCTAAGCCTAAGGCTAAGGGGAGGAAGCCAAAGGTGGCGCGAGTCTAGTTATAGCAATAAGAGTCTAGTTGTATTGTATTCATGCTTCTGGGTTTTTTCTTTCTTGTTTACGTTCAAATACTCTGTTTGTTGATCATGATCGCGAGGGTAAGCGCGGGAGTCATTTTCTTTTTTTTCTTTTTCTTTGGTTCTTGTCTTGTTTTATGAGTTAGGCGGCCTTTTAAGAAATGCAGATTGGCCAATTAAGTGGTGGAATCGTGATTTGCGCACTTGTCGAAGAGAGAGTTACATTGCATGTGGTAAGACCTTTTGTTGAAAGCACAATAAACTCGACAACAGAGCGTGTTAACTTTAACTTGAATGTTACACCACTTTTTTTTCAGTTGTGGTGTAAAATTCAACTTGGGAGGTGGCCTAATACAAATTTGCGCTCCTGCCCCCTGCACTGCTTATTCTGTGTAAGGCCGTTGGTGTGCAAAAGTAGGGTTTTGCCACCCAAAAGTGACTTTTACACATGATCTTTTTGCATTCCATATGAAGTGTAAGAATATCGAGTGCAAAAGTCAATGTTTGGCGGGCGGTTTACAAAAATACACTCATGGCTTTACACATCACCTTTTTGCACTCCAGATTTTGGGGCGGATGGAGTGTAAAATTGTATTTTACCCCAGTCACTGTGCATTTTTACACTCCTCCGGTTTTACACTCCTTTTCGAGTGCAAAACGGTTGAGTGTAAAAATCTCTTCACCGATTTCAAATTAGGCTCTCAAATCCACATTTGAGTTTCTTCAATCATCATTCATGATAATAATGTCATTTTGGTGCTGTGCCAGGTGAGCAAAAAAAGCAGAGTCGCCTGATTACCTTGGCCAAGGAAAACCACAGGTTGGTGTTGGTTTTCTTTGCTCAACCTTGTTTCCTTTGCACACGGGGAATTAAAGAATCAAGATTGAGCTTTTGCATATGTAGTGTTGTGACATGTAAAGAGAGTGTAAGGTGTCCGAGACCGAATCTTGGCCAGTAAATCCCCATGAATCCCATTTTGTCAATACACCATCTGATTCGTAGCCACCCCTTTCTTCACCTCAAATGGCTCAACCTTTTCTCCAGAAGTTTTACCTCAGGTCTCCTCACATCTTTCTCTCTGGTCCTTCAAACTTTCAATCCCGTTATCTTTCTGGATCTTCTTGTCGAAATTTCTACCGCCACTCCATCTTCTTCCAACAAACCACTAAACTTGAAAAACCTTCTCCCACCAAACCGAAAACCTCTGATCAGCTCAATAAACCGAATCAATCAGAAACCCGACCTTCTGATCCGTCTGAAATTTTATCAAAGCTCTCACCTAGCTCTACCCAACCGGGTATCTCTTCACTCTCTATATCTTCTTTAACCGATTCAAAAGAAGATACTCATTCCGAACCTCAGGATGTACCACAGCTTGTGAGTTTACGATCTTCGTTCGATGATCCCTTGGTCGGTCTTGGTACTCCGTTTGGTCAGCCAAACTCGTCCATGAACACCACTTCAAGTCCACACGCGTCATTCTGACGGTCATGTTTGTTCGGCTCATATTTTATGTAAACAGTCTCCGATCAACCTTCCACCGGGTCATCGGTACCGCAGCCAAACGAACCTTCAGTCTCGAAACCCAATAAGCTCAAGGCAATCCAGCCCAAGTCCTCAGCAAAGGCCGAGCTACCCAGAATTCTACCTCCTCATCCCTTCAATACACATGAATTTGTCAGACAACTAGAAACTTCAGCCTTTGGTCTTGAAGTCTCAAGAACAATAATGAAAGTAGTGAAAAAAAGTTTAGAAACCTCGGAACATCGATGGTTACTCTCAGGTCCAAGTGGAGGAGTCGTCTCTAGAGCATATGCAGAAGGACAAGCATATTTATATAATGCAGCATTAGGAGAGTTAAGAACGGAAGTGAAAGTGAAAACAAGAAATGATGGGATCGTTTTGAAAAGTGCAAGTAATGTATTACAACGTGAGATTGATTCTTTGAAACAGAAAATGAAAGAGGATGTGGATGGATTAAAGAATGAGATTCAATTAGAGATGAATGGAAGGAAAGAAGAAGCTAGTGATGATCAGAAAAAACTCGAGTTGGCTATTCAAGAGTTGAATAGTAAGGTCAGTTGATTTTTTCGATATCTATGATATAGTTTGAACTTTTAAGATTGATGATCGCTTTATCAATCTACAGTTCACAATCTTAGTTGGAGATGTCAGAACTGAGATCGAGACACGCAAATGGATCACAACGCGACGCTGCATTGGTAAGAACAGCTCTCTTTGATCTTTATGAATCACTCATCAATAACCATCGATCACCTTTCTGTCGTATGTAATAGTCGCGATCGCGTCCTTAGCACTCTGTGTTATAATCTTCACCGCCCTCGAATCGAATCAAATCAATCCAGTTTCGTCATCCGCAACTAACGCACAAAAACAACTTCAAAGAGAAGTACTCAAGACAGTGGAAGATCTGGGTATCACTCCAGCTAGGGATGAAAGTGATTCAGGTTACTCGAGCGGTGTGTTTGGACAAGGGAAACGGATTGGAGATGAAGATAATCATGACGGAAACACTAGCTTTTGAATGTCTATGATACTCAGAGGCATGTGCAGAGACTTGTATCATATACTGGAGATCTTTGACCATAGACCAGACTTCAGAGTGGAAGAGTAAATGATAATGAAGCAAGGTAGTAAATGACAGCAGCACATACATTAAAAGATTTTGTGGATAAGTATAGATTGTACATGATGTAGGTTACGAAAGTTGAAGATAAAACAATGGAATTTGATCTAAAATGTTGTTAATCATGCTGGGTGAAGAAGTCTGGTGTAATTTTTTGAGCCTAACAACTGCCTTGACCACATTAAGGGCACGGTTGCTTAAGGAATTTTGGACCAGAAATCATATTCTGTAAATTTTTTAATGCAAAAATGAAACATGCACCACCAAATAGCCACTTTAAATTTTTCAGGACATGATTACTCACCAGAAATTGCTTAAATAAACACGCCCTAAGAGTTGTTGTTGGCACTCTAAAGGCAAACCTTGTTCTTGTTAAGCTCTTCAATGATCATCTAAAGAAATGACTTGTTTCTCTTCAGAGTGAAGTAGAATTACAAACTTTCCCTTTACCACAAGAGACCGCATTGCAGGTTGAAGTCATCAACGTATTCAATTATTGATCTGGTTCGACTCCAATAAAAATTGTACAGTCAAACCGGAAAAGCTTGTCACAAATTCCCCGCCAATTTGCTCGAGTTCAATTATTGATCTGGTTCGACCCTAATGAAAATTGTATCTCCTAATTCTTGAGATGGTTTATCTCACATTTGCAAATGATTCACAAAACTGTGAGTCTTTCATTTGCCATCGAAATGAATACCCGACGGACTCGGGGCTTTATCCGAATCACCATGAACATAAAAAGGTTTGCATTCGGAATTCAGTTGAGCGCTTGCACCACATCAGATCATTACGTCATCATCATGTCCTCATCCAATCATCCGGTGACTAACTTCATTCCTCCTGCGTAAGTCAAACTCATTGATCTCTCTCAATAACAAAGAAAATGATTTCGGAAATTAAGATGAAGTTGTTCGTAGTACTTGGTCACTCATTGAACACCTTTTTACTGATTTTGGAAAACAAAAATTAAAAGAAGTCATCAAATTTGTAGAAGTAAGTTTCATCATAGAACCCTTGCTTCAAAAAAACCAATCACAATCTAAAGTGTTCTTTTTACTTATGCACCTTTTTGTTTTGTTTTGAACTTTTCTTTTTAAATAGGAAGAATGTTTACCAGCAGAAACAATCTATCTTTCACAAATTTCAGATGATCCAAATAAACGTTGGAAAGAAGTGCCTAAGATTATGGAAGATTTAAAAAACAAAGCTAAATCTCTTGGTCTTTGGAATCTTTTCCTTTCAAAAGCACATTAGTTAAGTCTCATTTTCTCAAACAGACAAAAAAACATTAGAAAGAACTATATCATTAACATATATATGCGTGTGTGTTGTTTATTCTATAGTCCTGGTGAAGGTGTACCTTTAACTAATTTAGAGTATGCAGTCATGGCAGAAGTGATGGGTCATGCTATACGTATCGCCCCAGAGGCCATGAATTGTTCAGCTCCTGATACCGGTTAGTCGTGATTCTCATTCTTCCTCGTAGCTTCACATTTTGGAATCAACTGAGAAAGGATGTTTGGTTTGATTGGAAGAACAGGTAATATGGAAGTCTTAGCTCGGTATGGAACGGCTGCTCAAAAAGAACGTTGGTTGAAACCTTTACTTGAGGGTCGTATTCGTAGTTCATTTTCCATGGTGCGCATACACTGCAGATGAACTCAAACTAAACAGAATCTCTTCTCTTGGAGTCCCTGAATTAATATTACTCATTTCTTTACGTAGACGGAGCCCGACGTAGCTTCATCCGATGCAACTAATATCCAAACCAAAATAACTCTTGATCGAAAAACGTAAATATCTTACCATAAATTCTCAAAAACTTTCGGGAACTGAACTTGTCGTTTTTTCTTCTCTTGACCACAAAAATTGAACAACAGCAATGAGATTGTTATTAATGGTCGAAAGTGGTGGATCTCAGGAGCAGGAGATCCAAGAAACGATGTTCATTTAGTAATGGGAAAGTCAGATACGAATGCAGCAGTTCATAGTCAACAATCGATTGTGATCGTACCAGCCAATACAAAAGGAGTTCGACTTATAAGACCTATGCAAGTCTTTGGTTATGATGAGTTGAGTGATTCGGAAAGATTTGTTTTGATGTGATCCATGAACTTAAACTGATTTCGTTTCTTGTAGTGCTCCTGAAGGTCATTTTGAAATTGGATATGAGAATGTACGTGTACCGGTTGAGAATTTGGTGTATGATTGGGGAAAAGGATTTGAGATTATTCAGTCTAGATTAGGACCTGGAAGGATCCATCATTGGTGAGCACAAAAGTTCAAAATAGTGCTTTTTAAGCTCATCTAACCTTTTCACTCACCATTTCCTTCAATGTTGAAAAAATTAGTATGCGTTCTATAGGCCTAGCCGAACGAGCCATTGGGTTGATGTTACTAAGAATCACAGATCCAAAGAAAAAGACATTTGGAAAACAACTTTATCAACATGGCTCAGTAGCTGACGAATTAGCAAGATCACGTATCGAATTAGATAGTGTCAGATTATTGGTTTATGCTGCAGCTCATCAAATTGATGGAGTAAGAGCAAAAGGAGCCATGAAAGCTATTGGAATGGCTAAAGCGATTGTGCCCATGACAGTTGGAAAGATTATTGATAGAGCTATGCAAGTTCATGGTGGTGAAGGTGTTTCACAAGATCAACCTTTGGCTAGTATGTTTGCTGGAGTAAGAACTTTAAGATTTGCGGATGTAGGTTTCAAAACTTGATATGTGATCTTTCTTTTTTGATGGAACGTGTAAAATGGAAGAACTGAACTTTTTATCACTGTTTTTCTTTTCTTTTGCAGGGTCCTGATGAAGTTCATCAAGGTCAAATTGCTAAACAAGAATTGAAAAGAGTTCCATTGTTGAAAGCTAGAATGGAGAAAGTTAAAGAAAGTGAAGTGATTCTTTCAAAACATTATAAAATTCCTGATACAGCTGATTGGATTCGATCTAAGATTTGAAAAAAGTAAATTGAAGTTGAAGTTTGTAAAAGGGAGGGGTAGAATAAAAGATGGACAGTTTTTTGTTTTGGTTGAAGAGGTTGAATTTGTAAGAGAAGGGGTATGATTATGGATCATTGATGTTGCAAAGGGTAGTCCTATTTGATGTATTTATTTGAAAGTGTAATATATGTTTTATTTTTGTATCGTTTTCTGAATATTTATTATTTAGTTTTCAAGAAGTTTATGAAATATTGATCCAATATTTACCAAACCAATATCAGTCTTTCGTTTACAATATAACTCCATACACACATATAGAGAATTGATACATACACGAACCCAACCTGGGATCCGCACGGAGTTTCACAAGGTATCAGCATAAAATATGCTGATACAAAAGGGAATGCTTTACTAATTTTTTTGAAACCTTCTTTGAACCTTGATCATTCTGATAATTTTGAACATTTTTGAGCCAATTTTTCAACAAAAATACCACCTAATATATATTGTTATCTTGATGTCAACTTTTTTTTTGGAAAATCTGAAGGCTCCTGAGATTGTTTTGGTCCTTGCAGGTACTAACAAGGTAGTATCTGCAACCCTCCTCTACTTTGATTATCTGCAACCAAAGTTGAGATGTGAAAAACCTGGAGAAAATATGGGCCTGGAGTTTTTATTTTTTTGATACCAGAATTGAACATCTTTATATCAAAACCTAAGTCCTTTTAGAATTTATCTATAGCCAACTTGTGGTTACAGTGATCAAATGCATCTTTTTGCTGTCTTTTCCATAGTGGTGAAGTTATCAACAAGCTGATACTGCATACTTGATTACTCTGTGGTTACTAGACTGTTGATCAGTGCAATAATCACTACAACATATGACATCTTTACCCAGGGGTATAGAAAAGTAGTGTGGGCATAGAAAACTATTGGTAGGGTACTTTTCTATACCAATAAAAAATGCTTTTGATAAACCTATGTAAGATATTTCAGATTGAGAAATTGAGTATCATCTTTGCCCTGACTCAGCTGTATGTATTGGGACCCAAAGGCAGTGCTACAGTGCACAGAATCTCAATTTTCTGTTTTTTGATATTTTTATCCTAAAATACAATTCTATGGTGATAAAAGAGATCCTCAACCATGTTCAGCAATGTATGTGAGTATGTATGCACAATCTACACAGGTTGACAGACACTTTTTACATATGTACCACCCACTTTGGCAAAAAAAGTTGCATTAATAATTTAATGCAACTTTTACATCACGGTGAGAAAATTTCTCACCGTGTATATATATGTAAAACCACACAACAGTGTGCTTGTTAGAAAGGTTCTTTAACCAAGTAAAAAGTGAAATCACCATGGTGATAATGAATCACAATGGTGTCTTTTACCATTTGGTAAACAAGGTCATTTGTTGATTGAGTTCAAAAACCAAAAAAAAACTTAATTGCTCTCATCGCTCTCAATATCATCTACCCGTTCAACTTCTGCAATTATTTTTTAAGCAATTTGATTGATGATAACATGGTCAATGACCAAGATCTTCACTGTTGGCAGCAAAGTTGAATTGGTGGAAATGACGTCTTTTGAGGAAGTCGGATTCGAGTCTGAATCAACACCATGATGAGATCGAATGGATTTGAGATTGAAAAGTTTAAGTAGAGAAAAAGGTTGAGGTGGTGATGATTTGAATGGTTTGCAATTGAAGAGAAAAGGACTTGTAGAAAACAAAGAAAAAAATGGTGAGGTCCGAAATAACAGGTGGTGATGGCTTGAGAAGAGAGAACGATGAAAAGTCGCAGTTGCATTAATTTGAAAATATTTGACTTTTAGTTGTTTTCAAGAATACGCACAATCTTTGCACATATGTGCAGAAATCCATGTATCTCTTTTGTTGCATTTTTGTTTACCGAACGAGATTTTTGGGTGACATATGCGACCAAAAATCACTGTGCTTTTTTGGTGGTGCACAGTCGGTCGCATAGGTCACACACCGGTTGCCGAAGTGGGTGTACAATATGACTGATGGACCATGCTTTCCCATTGGACAAGGCTCAAGAAGGGCTTTGAGTCTAAATTTATATACAGTCCCTGTGGTCATGTGGATATTTTCATCTGTGGGTATAGAGCAGAATGGTATGTCTAGGCAGAGAGGACACTATCTCTATGGGTATAGAAAAGTACTTCACCCATAGTTTTCTATGCCCGCACTACTTTTCTATACCCCTGGGTAAAGATGTCATTTGGTGTAGTGAATGTCTGTGCACTTATCAGTAATTTGATAGACACACGGACTCTCGGTTCAGCTCAAGTATCCGGGATGTGCCCTACTGCACATATATCTCTGGTATTGGAATGGAGTTGCATTTATTTCTATTTTTCACATTTTTGTATTTGAATTCATAAGACTTCACAACTCTCTTTGGGAATGTTGTGCTTTTAGTAGGCCAAAGATAACCATCTCTGTGATAATTCCATAGGGGTTTCAAGTGATTGAATGGCACACTTGGTGTTGAGAAAATAGAAATGATATTATGGTCTGTGTTGTTACTAAAGATGTGGTTGAAGCACAAGACCCAGGTCTGTGCATTTACCAATTCTCTATATATTTGGAATGGAATTGAATTTGCAGTTCCAATGAAAATGTTTGTTCATCCAAGTAGACATGAGCCAAGATAAGATAAAGAAAATAATCAAAAGTTGTGTTTTTATTCAAAAAGAGGATTTGTATAAATCATGAAAGAAGCAATCTTAAGTTTAAAGATTGAAGAGAAATTTGCCAGGCCCCCAAAGTCAAAAACCAGCATTCAGGAAAAGGAACCAAGTAGAGAAAGAAAATAGAAAGAGGAACAACAAAGTAAAAAAAACAAGAGAGAAAGACAGATGCATTTGTCTAACCAGCTCACTACCCATTATACACCTGTCACAACTTACCACACTGCTCACCGTCTCATATTCCTCCATTGAGTCTACTTTTACAAGTATTGATATGAGAGCAGGCATTCAATTCCTTGTTAAGAATATGTAATCCAGGTCTTGTGAATTTCAATTGCAGGGTGCCAGGGTTTTTCATAGCTGATTCTAATCTCTAGTTTTTAAGGAAGTAAAGGATGGATCTAGACAACACAATAGACCCCTCTGTTGATGTATTCAAAACCTCTTCATAACTTGATCTTAGTCTCAATACATCATACCATGACCTCTTACATTCAAGAATCCAATGGAAAAGTAACCAAGCTGAAAATTTTACTTGTGATGTTCTAAAGATACCCATATTCTGTACTCTAAAACGTAAGAAATCTTGAAATGTCTTGGTTTTATTTGGAGCTAATTTCCTACTTTGATCTGTACTAAATGAGATTTTTTCAACTGGTAAACTTCCCCAAATCTTCATCAACCATTCATAACCTTCTTGTAAAGTTGAATTTACAATCTCTTCAGAAAGATCAAGTTGATGAATCTTCTGGGTTGTTTGTAATTGTAGTGAAAGAAATTGATGTGTTAAATGTTCAAGTCTGGCTTTCAGTGATTGATGAAACTCTTCACTTTTACACCTATGTTTGAAGTTCAACTTGATAAAGCTTTCTTGAAGATTCTTCATAAAAGGAGCCACAATAGGATCAACTGTAAACATTGATGGTATACTGGATGATTTGCGGACACGGTTCACCAAATTTGGTAAGAGGTCCTTGCAACCCTTAAGGTCATCAGTCTCTGGAAAACTTTCTTTGACACTCTTTTCCTTCTTTGCCATACCTTTCAAGGGAAAAGTGGGTGAGCCAATATGATTATCAGGTTGACCACTGTAAGTATTGGGATTCTCCAAGAGCCTTGTGCTAGTTGATGGATTTTGATTGATATCTGTTGAAATTCTTTGAGGTTCATTCATGAATTCTTGTGACTGTTTTGGTGGTTGGATTTCTGATTCAAGTATTCCAATATGCTTGTTCTGAATTATTGAACCCTGTGTAGGACAGTATTTCTTTGGAACCTTATCATTTTCTTTTGAGCTTCTCCTTTTGAATCCTGATTGGAATTTGAAAGAGGGTTCAATCCCTCCAAACTCTTGCTGATTGGCTTGGGTCAAATCATGATATTCATGAGCCTTATAAAGTACTGGCTTGTCATGAGAATGGGCTTCTGGTGTTGGATGAATTGTTCCTAAATCACTGTCTTTCTTCCCAATGGCTCCATGTGAGTCAATATTTCCAACCAAATGCATATCATCATTCATGGAAGATGGGTTCCAAATTCCAAAGGGGTGATTTTCAACTGGATGTATATGAGGCAAAAATAGCTGTGGTCCTTGAATTCCATATAGATCCCCCACCTCTAAATCATGTAGTGCTTCCTGATTTCTGCTGGAGGATAAAATATCTTTGTATACATGATTTGGTTCATGTATTTTAATTAAACTCATTTCCCAATCATCTTTATTTGTTGGATTATGAAATATGTCAAGGGGAAAGTTTGAACCTGAAGTTTGTGGTAGTCTGTGATTAATATTTTCTAGATGAACTGGAAAATCAACAGTAGGTAGCCCACGAGAATCCTCAAAGATGTCTTTTTTGTATGGGTCTTCATGCAAAATGTAGGCAGTTTCATACCCCTGACTCTGAGAGTTTTCTTTTGATATTCCATGCCAATTGTATTGGGTACCTAAACTCCTGGTATCATGTATGGGAAGTTCAGGATGATTGTAGAGTTGTTTGTTTCCCCAAATATTTCCATGATCTACCAGGTTTTTAGAATTGTAGATGTCCACGGAAGATTCTTCCCCATTGAGTATATCTGAATGATGATGCTTATCAGTGCGTCCATTTGAGCTGGGTGAGAAACCTGTAGTTGGATTGAAATTGGATTTTGAATTATATTTATTCACACATTCAATTTAAGTGATATGTCAAACTAAAGATAACAAGTATCTTACCTCTTTTGTTTCCTCTAAGCTCTGGTTTTTCCAGTCCCATATGAGATAAATCTTTTGAAGTCTCTTGGTTTGGGGAAATTCCATATTCATTTGAAATACTGTTAAGGTTGAAATTATCTGAGTCCCAATGATTAGGTTCAACTTGATTGTGATGAGGTATCATCTGATTGTTATGATTGGATGATATTTGTTTGTTTTGATTGATAATTTCTGGAGTATTGAAGATTCCAAGTGGGTGATCCTGATAATCAATACATTCAGAGTTTCTAAACTCTGTCTGGAAGTTATTCATCCCAAGACCTCCAAAAGCCATGTCAAAGTGGATTGTGAAAAGAATGGTAAATATTGTAATGATATTTGACACTTTGAGGTGAACCTTGAATACATGGTCAAGCCAGATAAGCCCAGGGATGAAAGGATTCCAATACATCTTGTGGTGATAGATGAGCAGATGAGAGGTAATAGAAGATTATTTCACTGCAAAGAGATTATTGTACAGGCCATATCTCAATGAGAGATAGAAGTGCTGCCTTATCAAATTGAATGCATTTACCCTCCAGTGGACCAAGGCCTAAATGATTTGGTCAAACCTGCAGTTACAAATATGAAGGACTGTCTCACAAAGCTACATAGAAGAATATTCATTTCCCACACACCTGCCAAAACATACATGTCCCACATGGAGCAATTTCAAATTCAAGTTTCAAGATGATAAACAACATTGGGTAACCAACACTGGAACATGTTACAAGTCAGATACAGCAGAACAGATTTTACTTGGTTGTACATGTTGCGCTCTTGATGCAGCACACCGGTTACAAAAACTCTTGGATTGGGCACAGCATGCAGCTTTGTGTCAAAAAGCAATGCTGGGCTTCAAGTTGCAGTTGTGCTCCACCACCTACATGTGCAGTGTAATTGAGCAGGTAACTATTTAATTGAATAAAATCAATGATAACCACCTGGGTTCACAATCACAGCCAGCTGGTGGCAAAAGCAAATAATGTGCATTGTATTTGGATTCCATTGGTATGAATAAATGTTCTACTGAGCCAAGAATTTCTTGTGTATCTTTTAAGCCATTGTTTTGATCTTTGGATCCAGGATTGGTGCTCTGACACAGCACATAATCAAATCAAGTTGATATGTCAGCGTGATGATTTTCAAATGATCTCAATTTGAATAGTAGATTGAACTCATCTTTTTAAAAAGTCCATGCTTTGCCAATATGTTGACCATTGGCTCTGCAAGCCACAGGCTGTGATGGTGCCAGGTAATCACTTTGAGGGTAAGTTGAAGGAGCTTGTAGGTCAATTTATGGTCAAGTAAGGTTACAGCTGCTCTTATGTACCACCAACATATATATCTTGGATTGAAAAATCCAAGGTATCCTCAGATTTCTCAACCCAAGGCATCTATGTTGGCAGTGATGAAGGTGTGTCAGTTTTCTTTTGTTGTTCAGCGATTGTTTGGTATGTGTAATTGAATTGGAGAGAGACTAGCCGCCAACTAGTGTGCGTCAGACTTCCAGATCAACTGGTGCATCAGTGGTCCCGGGCACAACACTTGATGAAACACTGCTGCTGAAAAAATACTGACTTTGAAGTTATGGGAAGCTTTGGGTGAGTTTCCACTTAGAGCACTGCACTGATATGCACAGCAACTGGTCAGAAAAACCACAATGCTGGGTTGTGCAACAGCAACCATCAGAGTTGCTGAGCTGGTGTTGGGATATTGCATGAAGTTTCAACTTTCAACAATCTAGAAGGAGACTTCCTACTTCCCAAATTAAGTATTCCGATTCAACATAAGATCTACATCACTAGTTACTGAACACCAGCACCAGGACTTGTACTGAGACTTTTAACAAGGGAAACACACTAAGGATAGAATTGAATAGATGAATAAAAAAACAAAGGTATTATCTCAAGAGATTAGATGATTCCAGGTCCAGTTGATTGAGTTTGATCCAGGTGGATTAAAGCAAAGACTGATAAAAGAAGAGATACAATGAAAGACAAATTTCTGAAGGGAGTTTTCTGTCAAGATTGTTGTAGGAAAGAGTGTTTGTATAGATTTGAATGGGTTCTCTTATATCCTATTCATTTGAAAGTGTAATATTTCTGTTTGAATTGGATCTTTTCATCAACATTTATTCCCCAACCAAAGAACTCAAGGAAATCTTTTACCAAAAAGAAATTAATTTTATTTTCTTCACCAAAATGTAATACAGAAATAAGTAAGTTTAAATGAAATTGAAATTAAAGGTTCCAATGATCAAAAATAGAAAATGTGTTTATTCAAGTATGTATATTTAGAAGGGATTTGATTCAAGATTTGATAAAGAAAACAAAAGAATTGTGGATTTGTTGTAGAAGAGAATTGGGAATTGAGAAAGAAGAAAATTGGTCAATTCAAGATTTAGAGAGAGATATAAAATAATTCAAGAAAATATGGAAATTCAATTGATCAATTAAATTACACCAATACGATAAGAAGGGGTATAAAAGTTAGGAAATGAAGTGACCAAGGTTTGTTTGAAGAAGCAAGATTAGTTTGTGATTTTGATTGAGGAATTGATTGAGATTTTGAAGAAGTGGTGTTTGGAGTTTGTAAAGAAGATGAAGTGGATTGATTAAAACCCGGAATAAGAAAACTTGTCTATACATAAATATATATATATTCCAGAATTCATTCAGTTTTGAAGATCGATCATCAAGAAGGAGAGAGTCTTGAAATTGAAAAAACTTACAGATGGATCTAATGAACTTTTGGTAAGGTTTGATGAAAAATCAGTTGAATTGAAAGCTTTAATACGATAAAGTGTTACATTTAAAGTAAGACAAACCTACAAAGATGAACACTTTGAATTAATGAAATGCAGTAAAGAAAGATTGATGAGAGAAAGGTGAAAAGTGAAGGATTTGTTGGATTGGCTTAACTTGTTGACTTAAATTAAAGATCGTTTTGATATCATTCAATTCACATGTGTTTTGAAAACAAAGTTGTGAAGAATTCATAAAAGATGAACTTTGACAAAGACAACTAAAATCAGTCTGAATAGAAAATGACAAACAATCAATCGAAATCAACTTTTGTTTGATAGAATGTGAGCAGTTTTTTTTTCTGTTGAAGGGAATGGCAAAAGAAACTTACGATTGAACAACCACCTGAATTACCTATTGATGAAACATAACATGTTTGACCACATGAAGGTAATTCTGATAATGAGATTTGTCTTTTGGACAGAAAAATTGATGATTGGTTTGACAGTAATATCCAGCTTTGGATTACGAGGAATGAGAAAGAGATGATTGGATAGAATTGAAAGTTCATCTTTTGGTAAATCAATCGATTTCTTTTTCGTCAAAAGATGATGCTGATGATAATTATATTTTGTAATGGTCTGTCTTGAGTATCCAAAAGATGATATAGACAAGGCAAGTGATCGTAAATGATTGAAACTTTCAAGATATCAAGAACTGATTTATAAACATTCCATCAAGAGCATCACTTTCTTGCCGAATACAACGAACTTGATCGGATTTGTTTTGTTTGTTTGCTGTGAACTGATCATTAAAGAGTCACTTCATCTTAAGCACTGCCTTCTAAGATGTTTCATTTGCTGTGAACAGAATGAAAAAAAACTTCATCCACAGCATTACTCATCGATCGATCAATCTTCGGGTTAATCTCAATTCCAAAAAAGCTTTTTCAACCTTTCGAACCCAACTCAAGTGACCGATTTGAACCCGACTTCTTGGTCCGCCGTCCAGCTATTGCAAAAAGAGATCAAAAATGCATCTTCAGAGTTCTAAGACCGTTGAATTTCTTATTCATCGCTATGTTTGCCGCGCAGAGAGGGCTTTGTTAAGCTGATTGCCACGTTGAGATTAAGATGAGTGACTGAAAACCCATCCAAGAACTACAGCTTTTCAACCATTGATGGAGTTGCCATTTTCAGCATTTTTGCTCGAAAAGGCTATTTACAGAGTGCTCAGTGTAGTGACGTATTGATTACGTACAACGGTTTTGTTTTCCCCGAGTCTGTATGATCATGTGTATTGCCAAAGTGTGATTGTGGTTTTTGCGAGAAGCTTCTGGAATTCTCTAAATGGTAAAGAGCTGTTTACCACCGAATGAAAACCCATCAAGAGCTTTGATCACATTCTCAATCAAGCAACCCATTCAGCACACCCCTTCTTTCGAGAAATATCGAAAATAACATAACACGCGCATATCAAAGATATCATTCGAATTCGAATTGCGATTTGAAGATGCCTCTCAATTATTCAAAGTGGGATGCTCTTGAGGTGATCTAATCCAACATCAAATCAAGCGTAATGATATGATAGCTGACTTTAATTTTTCTTATCTTCTTAGCTCTCGGATGATTCCGACGTTGAAGTTCATCCAAAGTAAGTCAAGATTTCCTCAGCTTTCCTACGAATCGAAATCTTTACTGATCATCATTACTCTTCTTTAAATTTCAATCTGTAGTGTTGACAAACGTAGTTTTATTCGAATGAAACAAAGGAAGATTCATCAAGAAAGAGAAGAACGTAAGATGAAGATCGAATCATTCAAACATGAAGAAGAACTCAATCAGAAATTATTAAAAGAAATGAAAGATTTAATTAAAGAAGTTGAATCAGATGGAATCCAATCGATGAAAAAAACAGCTAGTCAACTTTCAGCTACAGGTGGAAGCGTACCACCAAGTGAAAATAAAGAACCTACGATTCAACAAATGGTCTTTAACTTATTAACTCAAATCTTATCAAAGGTTGAAAAAGATAAACCTGATGTTGGAGATGAAGATCAAGCTTGTCTTAAAGAACTTAATTTTCATTATACTAGGCTTTCTGAAAGAGAAGAAAAGAGAAAACTCGAATTGATACATGAAGAAGCTGAAGCCAAGAAACATATCACTAGTGAAGATGTACATGATGGATTTGATGTTTCGGTGAGTATAGAATCATTTAGTAGATTGATCTCACTGTACTCTTGATATAAGATGCCAAGATAAGTTTGCTGACTTTGAAAATTCCTTTTAGTATGTGGACAAGACTCCTTCGAAAGCTATTGATGAGACCGCTGCTCCATCTACCGCCACTAAATCCAAAAAAACTAGTATCGAAGTCTTGAATCCAAATTCGGTTGATTCATCTCTCGCTGCCCCTACAAACGCGGTACGTTACTTCGCCACCACTGCGTCTCTTCCACTCAGCATATACTGATTCCTTTCGTTGTATCTTCATAGGTCGATGCAGACTCATCTGACGATGAAGAGTTACCTCAACTTTCTTCATCAGCCATGAAATTTGCAAAGATCAAGGCATCTAATTACCCAGCTTCACTTGCAGCAATACAGGCTGATCCATCACTCTATCTTGATGAACTCACTACTGATGCTTTACTTGTGGAAGCCTTTGAGGCCGAGATGAGAGGTGCAAAGGAACATGCAAGGAATTGTGTACATCAAGGACTTTTGCTTCAATATTGTCGCAAGTTGGGCAAGGATGGTGTTAGCTTGTTTTTTCGAAAGTAAGTCTTGAGGCCTCATTCCAGCTGCTCTGTAGAGAGTTTGCCGTGTCCATCATGAAAGAAACTGATGTTTGCGATTGCACCCTCAGGGTCGGGTCCGGTGAACCCCGTGCGATGGAAGTCTTCATAACAGATGTACAAACAACTTACGAACGAATCGCAGGTAGATGTAAAACAATCAAAGAAGAACGAGCATCAGATCCATCAGGAGGAAAAGAACAAATCCAATTAGTAGCCACGAACCCGACTACATCGATCAGTTTTGAGATACCAGAAGGACCACCACCAGAAGATTTAAGATTACAAACCGAAGATGGAACCGAAGCGGAATTAGATGTAGAAGAAGTTCGAGGGTTTTTGAATGATCGATGGGAAACGTTTTGTTCGTTTCCAAAGAAACTACAAAAAGCACTTCAGACTAAGGAATTAGAAAAAGTGAATAAAGTGTTGGGTGAGATGGAAGTTCCAGAAGCCGAAAAAGTGGTACAAGATTTAGATCGGGTTGGGATTTTAAGTTTTAGTGAATCTGGAATAATTGATCAAACTGGTAAGGAATCTGTGAAAAATGAAGAAGATCAAAAGAAGGAGGAGGAGGAAGGAAAAGTAGATGAGGATCATGAGGCTGAGGAATCGGGTAAGAATTCGATTGAGATTCCAGAATGAAATGTGATTTGATGTTTGATTGAATTGAAAAAAAAAGTTGAATGAGATTTATTTTCCTTTGATAAATCTAATGTTTGATTGTGTTATATATCACTTCTTTCTTGTTTGTTTAATTTTCTATATATATAAAGGCATGTCAATTCTTTAACTTCTAATGTGAATGATGAATGATCAGGTTGAGTCGACATACATACATATAATCTATATTTTGCGGAACTAAAGTTTGATCTGATTCTCACAGCTTTGGAGACAAAAGAGCCATGAGATCTGATCCATTAGGATCCTATCGCATTGTTCTTGATTGATTCATGTTTTAATTTTTGTCTTTCTCTTACTTTGATACTTGAACTCAGAAAGTAGCATTAAGGAAAATTCATAAGAGAGAGAAAGACAAGAGAAAGAACAAATGAACAAAGAGGAATGAAATAGTAGAAGAAGGCAGTTTGGGTCTATGTAACTATTCCCATCAGACCTATATATACACATGGAACAACAAGAATTGTATTCCCTGCTAAGAGTATAGAAGCCGGATCTTGTGAATTTTCTTCTAGAAGATTGGAGGGATTAATCAAAATTGTTGCTCTCTGATGGTCTTAATATTCTGTTTTGAATGGTTGTTATATTTGCATTGGATTAGCTGGATTGCAACAGTTCTGGCGAGTGGACATAGTAGAAGGAAGAGTAAGCAATCTATTCCAATCTACTTTACTCGTCATATCATCAATTGTCTAAACCTTACGTTACATCTTTCGTTTAGCTGTGTTTCATCAACCAGCACTGTTAGTGCAAGTCTTGTAATATGGGAATGGTTTAGACTTACTGTCTTGTCGGTAACTGCAGACCAAACAAATGGAATAAAGAAATCCGATAGACATACTCAGACTCAAACTTAACCAAGTCCCTCGCTGGCTCTGTGCCAAAGGCCCGAGCCCCAGCGAGGTCAGACTCTAAACAAAGGCTTATCTTTCCAATTTGTTTTGTTTTGTTTTCTTGACTTTTTCTATTTACAAGTCTCGCTCTTCTCAATAAAACATCTGATGTTTCAAAAAGACACTGTGAAAATAATGTATTTTTCCAAGGTGAAAAATGATTGACATTAATGCACAAAATGATTAATAATGCAGAATTAATGCAGAAAAATGCAGAATTAATGCAGAATTAATGCATTTTTAATCATTTTGTGAAATAAATGTAATCATTTTTCACCTTGGAAAAATACATTATATTCGCAGTGAGAGTCTCCCTGGCTTGTCACTGATTATTACAGGACCCAGGCATGCTCTATGGTATGTTACTCCCCACTTAGGGCGGAATTTTGGGCCAAAACAGGCAAAATGATACTCCCCAAAATAGGACGGAAATTCACATGAGACAAAAAATGATAGTCCCCACCAAAAAAAATTTGGCAGGATCATAGTCCACGCAAAGGGCGGTTTTTGAAAGTCCAACAAGGTCAGAAGGCTGTCCGGAAGTGATAGGGTCTTAGGCTAAATAAGGGTTACAGATTTCTAAATGCCAGCGAGAATCTATTGAATTCCCATGAAATTCAGTAAAATCTAGTAAAATAGAGTAAAATCTCACAAAATGCTGTAGAATGCAGCAAAATGCATTAAAATCTGGTTTGAAAAAAACTTCAACACACAAATCTCAATTTATCAAAATTGCTTCAAGAAATCAATCCACAGTCTATCTAATCTACATAAAAACTCATCATTCCAAGCGTGTAAAATGCTTCCTAAAACCAAAGGCCCCAGCACTATTCAAGCCCTCATGGCACGTTGCCCAGCCAACACACCAACTTCTCAATGTACCCGTTGTCAATTTGAGCCTATCAATGGAGATAAACTATTTTACTGTCACTGTGGTGCTCGTGGAATCAAGATGTCACAAGGCCGTACGGAGCCTGTGAATGATCACTGGAAAAGTGGTGAGTTTCTCTTTATATCATCACACTTGAAAGATACAAACAATATGTGACAAACACTGATGAAGACATGTGACCTCCATCAGACAAATGTATCACAATAACAAACGCACCAAAAAATACCAGACCACTAACTGACTTCTTCAAAAAGAGACCAGCAGAAGACGCGGTTCCCACAGCAAACCCTTGTCCAAAGCCAAAGAGTCAAATCCAAGGTGTTCCATGTGCCGGAATGAATGATGATACGTGGGTTCGACCGGATACTGATTTCCTTATTATCGACTGCATCCTTGGGTCACCCTCAGAATACCATGCTAGCCGTCCAAGATGGGTAGTCTGTGAAGAGCTATTTAAGACTAGAGAAGAAAGCAAACTCACCACTAAGCAAGTCACTCAGCTACAAAGTGTTCTTCAAGCTGAAGCGACCTGGAGAATCGATCGAAAAGGTGAACTGAAAACTATACATTCCACCCAATGCACGAAATTTGTTCCCACCTCAAATGCAAGACATGCCACTGTTTGTAATCCGTGTTGGGAGTTGCGTAAGGACAAATCATTTAGAAAAGCAGTCAGTAGAAAGTATGCCGAAGGCAATGCCGTGAAGCACATACGAGACACCTTGATGCAAAGTACTGGCTTTGATCCTCGGATGCAACAGTACAAAGAGTTACGCGACCTCAATCTATCCTTAGAAACTCTCTCAAACTCAGGCGATCCACGATTCTGGTCAACTCTGGGTACCCACGGTTCAGCTGGATTGTTCAAGAACATGGATGTTTTTGAAGGACTTGTTAAAGCAGTTGCATCACGAGCCACACGCGAAAAGGACGGAAAATCACTTCGCGGATTGAGGGTTCAACAACCATGGGACACTTTACAATGCCTCTATGGGCAATCAGCCCCGCCGCTGGTCGTTTCGTACGAGCAAATCTACACTCACGAGACGCTCGAAGCTTGCGGGAAACACGGCGATTAAGTGGAATGCAGTTGGCCGATGGACTCGACCTCTCAAACTTTGTACGCATCTCTGAACAGATCAAAAAGCTGGGCTACAATGGTCCACTTGCATTGGGGTCCGATCAGACAGTATGTGTAAAGACTCTCCGCGTCTATAATGGCTGTATAGTAGGAGCTCAAGGGGGTGATGTTGCGTTCAGCGGTGCCAAGGACTTACAAGCCAAAGTCAAATCAAAATTGGAAAATGATTCTTTATGCACCAAGGTACGTACAAATCTCTTATTGATAGTCCCTTTGTCCCTTTTTGATCTCAATGGTTCTCAAATATTGAACAGGTACGAGCATACACCATCCAGGTTCCACTTCCAAACGTACCAACCTTTGTAGTGGCAATGCTGGCAAGCTATAACAATGAGAAGAGTGAAGATATCCTGACTTTACATGACACAGCCATCTCACTGGCCCAGAAGGCCGGTCTTAATATTCTCTCAATTGGCTCAGATGGCGCAGCCAACGAATTGTCGGCCCAAGCAATGCTTGCAAATCTAGCAAATGAAACACTCTCGTTTTCTTTTGTTGGCCTAGGAGTCAAGATTCACGTGCCCTTGATTGGTCAGCCACCTAGACCAATTGTGGCTGTTCAAGATCCCAAGCATGCTCGAAAAACTGCAGCCAACCAGATCTTGTCAGGTGCTCGATGTCTTGCATTTGGTCGATTCTACTTTGGAATTGGTCAACTGACTGAAATTCTGACATCTGAAAACTCGCCACTTTACCAACGCGATGTACACAACTCGGATAAGCAAGACGACGGACCGGCATATCGGACGTTTTCTTTCGAAACAGTCAAAGCTGCCTCGAACCTTTCTGATGGAACTGGTCTTGCAGTTTATCTTTTTGTGTGCGGCGAGCTATGTGATGCCTGGTTAAATCGTCACATGGGACACAGTGAACGTGTTAGATCAGCATGGACTGCGGCATTCTTTCTTCGTAAATGGAACAGCTATCTTCAAAAGCAAAAGCAGGAGACTGGCTCAATGATGTCCCCCAAAAAGAACGGAATTTCGCCTCAGAGTTTGAAAATTTTCACCCAGCTTGCCGAATCACTGATAGCACTTATAATATCACACCGAGAATACTATCCCAAATTCCCGCTCCTCCCATGGAAACATGGCACTGAGATGTGTGAACACCTCTTCGGTTGGCTACGTATCATTTCACCCAATTTCACAGTTTTGGATGCCCGTCAGCTCGTGCCCAAGCTCTTTGCAATCATCAAGGGAATCATGACCGGGACATTCAAAGTTCCTAGTTCTGAACATATACACGCGGGATACAAGCACTGTTTTGAAGACGAGGGTGACAAACCCACTGGCGATCTTGGTTACTTTCCTTCAGACCACGAGTTACGCGAAGACCTTTCAGTTGCTGAACAGCGAGCAACCCACCTCGCACGTCTTTGTGGTATGGATGTACCAACTGATGCCATAGATGACTCAGTTGATCTTCCCACCGACTTGGAAATTTTCGACAATGACACACAACCCGACCCATCTCAAACTGAAGGTATTTCTGAGTGTACTATCTGTGGTTCGTGTTCTTCCCATCGCAGCTGACATCTTTCTGTGCATCTCAGACATTTCTGAAAGTCGTTCAAGGGACATTGAAGTAGTGTATCGTTTCGACCCGTCCGAGACCGACAAAAGCGAAGTTTTTGAGACTGCAGCCGCAATGATGGGGGAGCGACAAAAATTGGATGTGCAACTCACTGAGATCGACGAGAATGCGGTGGTGGAAACTCATCTCAATCGAGCACGCCTCACTTTGTCCGATCTTTTGAACACCCCATGTATGTTCAATTCCTCTTCACCCAATACCATACCATTCACTGATTACTGGCCATCTTTTACTTGTAGTGCCCGATGAGCAAAATCACAAAGAAGCTGATAAGCGAGCGACTGACGCATTGTGTAGACTCACCAACAGCGCTGGAACTGCTTTAAACATCTCGTCCATTGTCGAGATTCGTCAAAAGCATGATAGTGAAGTAAAAAAGAAACACGGAAACGAACGAAAGAGAAAGCATTTGAACGATGTCATTGGGTCTGTATCCAGCACTGATACCTTATCGCCAAGCGAGTGTAGCAAGCTTGTTGCTGTGCTAGTCAAAGATTCCAACACAGCAACTGATTCGTCGATTTCCCGCATGCATCGCTGGAACATTCATGTCAAGCTGAGCTTGGCTGATGTTCAAAGGAATACTACAACCAGTCGCGATATGAGCTGGTTGGTTGGAAATGGTGTGATCTCTGTCACAAATCCCATCAAGCCAATGAAATTCTTCCTGGCAATATGTAACAATGTGAGTTTATGTCGATCAATTTTCAAATGATATAACATTAACATGTTTGGTTCAGAAACTTTACATTGGTAAAGTTTTGGCAGTCTATGAATATATCAATGATAAACATCGATGGGTCGCAAGTGCTACGAAGCGAGACAAGCTCTCCTATATCTCAGCCCAACTTTACTCGCACCAACCAGACATGCCCATTGCTATGTCATATGTTTCTGGAAAGCCTCACGAGTACATGTTTGCTCATCTCGAAGCTTCAAAAATTCACTATCTTTTCCCTGAAACAAGAGGTTCCAACTTAGATGAGCCGCGCTCGGGGATGGTTTCGTTGCCAGAAAGTATAAGTCAGATGGTAGATGCAATGGCATCTTCAGATTATATCAAAACCTTTAATTGTAACCTTGCTAGTCAACGTAGCAAGAAAAAATAGATTGTATATAAATTGTAGATACATAATACATCTGTTTGTGACCTGCTGGTATAGAAAGAAATGATAGTCACAAATTTGGTCGGATTTTTTTTTTAGTATACATATGAGACTCCCCAAATCGGTCGGAATCCGGCCTGGAGCACGTCGGAATTTGGCTTTTTTTGGGCCAATTTTGGGGACTATGTTCATGTAGTGCATGCCTGGGTCCTATTATTACTATAGCGTGCAATGCTAAAAGCCAATGTCGCACTAAAAAAACAATGGAATATGGAATTCTTGAGGCTCGAGAGTAAGCTTACTCCAGATGGGACACTGGTGATCGAGTTTGTCGCCTCCCACGTGTTCTAAATTGAACACATTAACCACAACACTCCAGAACAAGGATAATGGCGCACTATCGTTTCCTTTCCTTCTACCTGCTTTTAATCCTTCTTCCTTCACTTGACTCACTCCCTCTCATATCCCCTCTAGCTCAACCGCTTTTGAAAGCATCCTACAAGGAACTCGCTGAAATAGATCACGAAGATCCTAAGACTCCTATTCTTTTAGAATCTTTCACAAATTCGCATGCGGGATCACAGAAGGCACATAGCCGCAATGGTAAATCTATCTTTCAGATTCCCAAAGGAAGATTCAACAATTTTTTCGCTACTCAGTCTCAATCCCGAACTCTCAAAAAGAAAGCTTTGGCCAGTTGGGAAGTTTGTTATTCAATTTCTCAAAAGATTGAGAAATCCAACTTACCTGAGGCTGAAGTACAAGAATTGGCTAAAGCCGTCCTGTCATATGGTCCTCAATTTATTCTTGATCGACATGATTCTCAAAAAGTTACGGAATCTTTGATTTCTACAATCAATCTTTTCTCTCGTTCTCTTCAGATGGATTTTTTAAATCCAGCGGAGAGGATCTGGTCTTTTGAGGTGCTCTCAGTCCTGAGGTCTCGGATCCCAAAGAAAATAACCTTTACAATTCCCGATATCTGGACAGTCGACGACTTGGGTAGGGATCGAGTAGATTTTTTACTGTTTTTCTTGCAAGGTCAGCTATTCAAATTGTTGATAGGATGAATTTTTGATGACCAAGGTGGTGATTGATTTGATGTGATTGCAATTTGAACAGACAAAGACCTAGGAAAAGCAACTCAGGAGATGTGGTCAAAATCTCCTCCCAAACTAGAGACATCTGAACAAGGTGTGTAACAAAGTATCATGAGGATGTGTGGATTTTAATGTTCTTCTTTTGATCACAGTCATTCAGGAGGCAATTCAAAGGGAATCGATAGTTCGTCTTATCAATCAACAGATAGGCAAATCCTCCGGGGACCCATCTACAGAGTTTAAAACACTTTATCTTGCGTTCATCAACTTGAAAACTCCAATTGATTCTACCAAAGCCTCTACATTGATGAGATTGATTGAAAGTCATTTGGAATACCCTAAAACGCAACAGGAGTATCAATTTGATGAGGAGGCAAACACAGTTAGAATGCTATTTCACCTTCAAGAATATCATTATCAGAGCTATTTCAATTTCATGGTATTGACTGATACTCGGCAAGATCTTCGGAGAAAGATTCTTCAGAATGACATCAGTTTTCAACTTGAAGAAAAACTACCTCAAAGTGTCATCGGTATTTTGAAAGAGTTAGAAATCACAAAATACCTCAACACACATCAGATCAGCAAGATCTTAGAGATCATCAAACAGGAAGAAATGTCGATTGCTCAACTAGGAAGATTCTTCAGAGTAATCAATTTAGTTGTCAAGAGCAACTTCTCGATATGGAGAGTTTTCAATCACCAACTGGACGGATACTCCTTGATGATTCCAAAACTCTCCAAGATGCTAAAGAGTTATCGTTCTGGTCGGATGAACCCAGAGGGGGATGCTTGGGAAATTCTAGAGTCTCTTATCTTTGTCAAAAGTAAGTCAATTCACAAATACCCAAAGGTATGATCCCAATCACTCACAACCTTTTCTGGTTATATCAATTCAAGACGAAGATCTGCTAGCAAAGGAGTTTAGAGATAATCTTGCAAAAGGTTTGGTTATCAGAGGCGTGCTTTCAGAGAGTGATACCGTCGAGCAATATCTACCTGGAGAATCCAAACAAGACATGGTTGATCGAATGTTATACGGAATATTCAAGAAAAGATTAGATACCGAAAAATATAAGCACCGCCCAAACACACGTAACATTCTGGTAGAATACATCCTTCACCTCATCTCTTTCAAAAACAGCGACAAATTCCTATACTCTAGTCTTCGCTCCCTCGCCAACTTATCATGGTTGGTTCCTCAGAATCCTGCTTTACGTATGCTTAGTCAAGAAGTATCTGTTTTTGTTGAAAGGAGGTCTTGGGATACTAATGGCCGAATGGATGAGTTCAGGACGGCCCTTCAGAAACTCGAGGAGGCTGTATATATGACAATATATCAGACTGAGACGAGGTTTACAAGGTAACTATATATGTAGATGGAACGAAGTTTTAACAGGGCAAGGCAAGGAGAGGGAAAGAGTCACAACTACAGGATGAGGATGCAAATCGAGATGTACTAGATACGTAGTGTCAAATGTGATCCACAATGTCTCTTCGACACCCAACATCCTCCCCACAGTGTATGTTGTTCTTTGCACGATTGTTTCTTCAACTCGTTTGGGTCTTCCATCATATTATTATTGTCATCAAGCTTGTAGTCCAACAGTCCCCCCTTGTCCAATTTGATTTTGCGATGCTAGCTGCCTCCCACCTTACTAGTCGAGCTTTATATATTTCTTATATATATTTCTTATTTATCTCAGCTATGATATCTAACCCATTTTCATATCATTGTTCTCAATCTAATATTGTTTCAATTTTTACATTTGGTTAATCAGTCCAGCTTATCTCTCAAGAAGTGACAGTGTATTGTTAATCTCATTCTCTAGGGTTGTCTGTTCATCAACAGTTATAAACACCTTCTGATCTCCGATGTCTTCATAAGGTCTCTATGTTTGGTCTGCTTCAATTGTTGCCACATCTGCATCGAATTGGTACAGTTTCAAAGAGTGGACTTCGTTAAGTTTGAGGATACACTGAGTGAGAGGCTGAGCTTGACAGAGCTTAACTATGTTTATTTCTCCAAATCTGTTTACCCGGAACCAAACAAAAGCGAGATGGCGCAGCTGGTAGCGCGCTGGGCTCATATCACGCATACAATGTGCAGGATTTTGCAACCCAGAGGTCGTCGGATCGAAACTGACTCTCGCTACCATTTTTGACGCCTCTCTTCAATAATTTGCGGAATATTCATAGAAATCAGTTTGGAGCCTCGCTCGAAGCCTCGCGCGGATTGATGGAACTTTGTTAAGTTTAGTTTGGAGGAGAATTATCAAACTGTGAGAAAAAACAATACAGGAATAGATGTTTAGATGAAAAGTATGGAATGGGTTTGTCTTGGTACTCGCAAGGAGCAGTGTTGGCTACCGACGTGGGCTTGGGCCCAAAAATTATTTCCCCCATGAACGCAAGGACAACAGAGAAAAAAGATAGAGAAAAGTACGGTGGCCGAGGAGCGCCAGTTGCGCCAAAACGGCAAAATGACAAATCACCCCATTTTTGCCCCAATTGAGGCCCCGTCCAGCCTGTTCGGGCTGTTACTTCCCAACTCTGGTTGCCCTCTCACTTGCCGGGCTATACTTTTGTAATATTGTATGCATGAGCTTGTTGCTTGCCATCGACTGCCAGATAACCAAAAAAAATTGTAAACGCCCCCATCTTACAATCTCATCCGTTGTTGTTCCCTCCATTGCATGATCAACAGAATCTTCTGTATGAACTCCTACATAAGCATGAAGACGTTATAAGGCATTAATTATCATTTTTAGAACTTGAAGTTTTGGTTCAAGAAATCTATACAATACCATGCTTATTGTTTTCATCGTGTTTATTGTTCTTATCTTTTATCTTATGTCTTTGCTACATGTTTGATCTGTTCATGTTAGATCAATCACCCTAGTTACATTTATCATTCAGAGTTCCATTACTCTCAACTGCAGCACTCAAAGAGCTGATTGCGATAATCACTGCACACTGATATGTGCTGCACGCAATCTGGACACGAGAGAGACGGTTGGTAACCGGTGCAACGAGGCTTGTAAAAAAATGTGGCCTGATTGAAAGCTGATCCACATTATTGTTGCAAAAGTCAACATACCAGAAGAATACTCATGATGGGTGTGATGAGTTTACTACAAGAGTGTGGGTGAACTTTCACATGCTGAAGGGTCGTGGATGGCAATCTACCAGGAGCTGCCATTTTCAGCAGATGCTGAGGAGGCTCCCATGCTACATAATCGCTATCGAGTAGCCGATACCGTGAAGTACCAGTCCGAGCGGGCTGGACAGGGCCCTAATCGGGGCAGAAATGGGGCAATTTGACATTTTGTCGTTTTGGCGCAACTGGCGCTCCTCGGCCACTGTAGAAAAGAGACCGGAACATGTGGGAGGTCTAACTATTTCTACATTTTTGTTTAAGAGGGAGCAGGTGGGCGGGCAAACGAAATTAGAAGTTCAAACTAGTACCGCGTTGAGAGACCAGAAGATGAAAGAAGATGAACTGGTTTCAATAGAAGACTGTATCTAGCGGAAGTATTGAACTGAGAAGGAACAACTAGATTGAAAATATTTTTAGAAATTTTTGAAAATCTTTTCTGGGACAAACAGAAAAAGGTTGAGGGTAGGAAGATGAAAAATGTTGGGGACATGATCTGCAGTTTGAATTGTATTGACGATCTTCTGTGATTGCTTGACTTTTCCGCTTTCCCGCCTTGGAGCTACCTGCTCCTATTGCTTGTGTGTACCCTCAACTCTCCCATTCCCCTCAGTCAACTCCTTGAGCCAACTTCCAAATTGTTATTGAGGTTAGAAAGTCAAAGGTTGATCACATGTGACCAGATTTCTGAAAATTCTGATACCTGAAGATCTTGTTTGATATTGGTTTAGGCCTTATCTCATCATGTTTTATTCCAAGATCATGAATTTTGTGTGTTGACAATTATATTTACTTAATATTCAACTTCTAACCTTGATATCAGGGGTATGGTTTTCTTTTGAATGTTGTTGCCCTCTTCTGTTTTGGGTTGGGCTGTCTTATCAATGATTTGGTATCACACTTCAGAGTTCTTCTTTATGATTTTTGAAGATTGATTTCTTGATTTTTTTAAGAACAATGATGGCTTGTGTTCTTTTTGAAGATGAGCTGTTATTGTGTGCTTAGTGTTCTTTTGATTTTAAGTTGAATACACAAATTGATAGCTGCCAAGTGGAATTTGAACAAATTAAATGATGAAAAGAAAATTAGGCTATGATTGCTTGTATATATTCTGATCAGCATTCACATCATGCGACTTTTTCAACATGCATTTTCTTTGGGAATATGTTTGATTTTTTCAGTTTGTAATTCACAGAAAGTGTGTTCTGATTAGAATTTGCTTGATAGCAGCACAGTGACTAAAGAAAGATGCAAGAGCCTCTTCAAGGCACTGATACTGTGAGTGACATGAATAGAGTGCAACTTGATGATATATATAACTCCTTGGTCTGAAGTATGCAAGCTCTTCCAGCACAAGTGTGAGAACACCTTGTAGATGGGATGACATACTCATCAAAGGGTGATGTGAGGAGGTGCCCAAACAAAGCCTTAATGTTATGTCTTGGGAGACCAACCAGTCTGTGGATTCTAACATCAGGTCTAGAAAGATGGTTAAAGTTTTTGAAGACCACAAACAGGTATAAAATAACTCCTGATGTTAAGAAGTGGCCAGATTCTCATTGTAAGCATTGAGATGGTTCATGAGCCTTGTACAAGGTCACATCATGTGATGGGAGCAAGATCTGAAAGAAGTGTTACCCAGTTGTGCAGAAGGGGAATCAGGCATGCCAGATTTTTGTCTAGCTGCAAGAGGGGCAAAACAAAACATGAACAACAGAAAATTTTGACTTAATTTGACAAAAAATTGCTTAACCCTTGTACAAGTTACACATGACATACACATATGCAAAGGTTGCCTGCATCTCAAAACTCACCATCAAGATGTGTTTTGGCTTGATGAAATTTTGCACAAGGTTGGCCATTTGAGATTGGGCAAGATATTGACCAACCAGACACTATTCCAGCCCAAGATAGGTACAAGTTTCAAATAATTTTGGCATCATGTTTAGGTCTTAGTATCCAGACCCTTGGTTCCCACACATTGTATGCTAGTCAAGACATTGGTTTGCCAAAGTCTGAAAGTTGTATTCAAGACTACTGAATACATGGGTTGCACCCACCCGTAATGTGTGTGGAGATCTTGTGTCCAAGATCTTTCAAAGGTGTCATAAGTGTGCTTCACCCACCAGCCAAGCAAGGTAATGAGTTTTCACTGAGCTCTGATGGGATTTATTTATCCAGATTCACACATTCTTGGAACTTTTGCAGTCTTTGATTCTCCTGTTCATTGATCTGGATGATCAAAACTATTCACTACATGATGTTTCTTCAGCCTTTCATCATTCTATCTCTGTGTTTCCTCTTGAATTCAAGTAGTGAGTGGGGTGATATCTCTGGAAGAAAGATATCTGGAGGTCACAAACTACTTCTCACTAGTCAAAGATCTGGATTATGTTTCAAAAACTCCCTACCGATGCAATTCTTGTATTGCAATTAGAATTTGAAAGCTAAGCCAATCAATTAATTTTGTGATGAATCTGCCATTTCTGGACAACTAGAGAATATGTGGGCATTAATGCATTGACCCAGACCTGACCTGTAAATTCTCAGCTGGCCCGGGACCAGCTCAGCTTCAAACCGAGTCAACCCGGTCCGGTAGCCCAAACTCGATGATGGCTTCAAAAAAAGCAAATGTCCCATGAAATTGATGCCGCATAGGCTCAAATCCTAAATTGAGCTTCAGATGCCTTTATAAGAGGCTTGGATGGCAACAATAATCTATAAAAGTCTGACTATTTGAAGAAATGATATCATTTTCCGGTGGAAATTGAGGATAAATTCACAAAAACTTGCCTGTTTTCTTACTAGCGGTCCGGACCGGGTCAGCCCAATCTTCCTCTGTCAGAGTATAATTCTCTTCATCAAACACGTCAAACTACATCAATACATTATCAAAATACATTTACATGACAACATTATCAAAATACATTATATCAAAATCAATTAACTCAAATACATGATATCAAACCTAATTCATCATACACATGATTCAAACCTAGTTCAAAAAGTATCACATATAAATATGATTTTCACTCCTCCACATCAGCCTCTTTCCCCTCATCAGTTCACTGAGGAAAAAGAGGCGCGTAAGTGGATTCCTCATACAATTTCTCAAACTCATAGACTCTATTAAACTTTCTATTTCTTTTTACTTTGTTGTACAGACTGCTCTTGTTATCTTACCTTTATAGGTTTGTCATCCATTCTCGTCTTTGGTGTTCAGAGCCTCTAGACTCACACCTGTTTGCTGGTGTTATAAGGTTTGTCATCTATTCTTGTCTTT